AAGTGCGCATCATATGTTTGATTTAAAAGTAGCTTCTGTAACGTGAAGTCCGGTAAATGCACTCAGATCAGTACAATCTACGTTCACAAAATGTCCTGAAATAGCCTAATATTTCTAATCTCTTTTCGTTGGTTATCCAACTTCAAATAAAAGAACTGCAGTTTGATCTTCCTTCCGTTATAAAGTGTGTATTTCAACTGATTAAATTATATTGTGAGAGAGTCAAGTGCAAATCTCAACGACCAGTTTCAATAAAAACAGCGTAACTCTAGATAAAGATGATGATATAAATATGTATGTCAAAGTCATTTAAGTATTTGAAATGTATTTGTCACTTCGAATCGTATGAGAAGAGAGATACCATTAAATCATTAAGGGTCACATCCATTTTTACTACAAAAAACAAAACTAAATTGGAGCGTTTTATAAGTATTTCTGTGGGATAATTTATTGATGTCTACGACATAGTGAAAGTAAAATGTTTAAATGACGAAGAAGTCATTCCCAAAGGAGAAAGAAGTACATATTAACATTATCATTTCTGAATAATGTAATAATCTGAGGAGATACCAAAAGTATGTAAATCAACTAGACTTACGTTAATCCGCTTGTGATTAACCGATCGTGCTTACACTAATGTTGTTGAATTACTAAACCAGATATACCGCACGCCAGCATAAATTTCCTTATTTTGACAAAACATTTCTTAGCACCATTGATGTAAAAAAAAGATCATTGTTGCCCTAAAAAAATATTTGACATGTACTTGATAAAATATAAAATAATTATGTTTTAACAAAGCACCATTGATGACGAAGTACTTATAACCCCGTAAATAAATTTACTTCCAATGGGCTCGAAACACAATAAATACTGCAATTATTGTACTTACGTCCCGCAATTTGATTTTTACCCATGTACAATAAGAATGATATTTACCGTTAAACTCGTACTAACGCTCCTGTACATTTCATTCTAAGTCTAGTTATAGATGTATGATGTACCACACGTTTGTCTCATTTCATACATAATTTTACCTTTATAAGAAAAAGAAACACAGTACTTGGGGCCTCCCGACATGAAAGTGACCTAGCATTACAGTGACCACAGTGGCTACTGTCATTTTATACATAATCCGGTCATCATCACTCTAAAGGAATACAAGTTGTCAATTCAGTCATAATTATATGGCGTACGAATGAGTTAAGGGCAAAATGTGACCATTGCCATGTAAACGTTTCAATGTTCGCGCTTCCTCGCTGTCAAGAAACTTGTTGGTTTATTAATGAAATCTGTCTTATATTGCTGCAAAGAAACCGCACACTAATGCAAGAATTTATTCGCAACGGAATCAGACAAATGGTGTTTAACGGGTGGTTCTTAAAATATTTCAGTATTTCATTTGCATACTTTATATACAGAAAGAACAAAAAAACGCGACCGTGTCGTGCGGGCCTCTGGAGATCATTTCCATTGGGCAATAGCTTCGTGTTTTATCTCTGTAAAGAAACAAAACTCCAAACTAATGAAGAGTACATCGCAAAAATGCCGAAGCGTTTTCTTTCAGTTCACCTAATTGTTATAATAGCAATCTACCAGAAACCCTATTATGTCTCTAATTTTCAGACATCAGCAATATGCCATCAGAAAATTATTATTGATGGATAATCGAAAAGGTTACGTCTAACGGGAACGCAAGTATTAATAAGCATGGTATTACCGAAATTAGCTCATAAATAGTGTTTTAAAATATCAAAGTGTGTTGGAAATATCAGTGTACGAAACATTATCTCATTTGATATCAGTCATTTGATACCACGAATTAAAGTTTCAGTTACAAATGAGCAGATAGCAACAGTATTCATTTCCTCGAAACATATCAAGAACTGCACTTGTACTATGTGTGTGTGCAGTACAAGTACTGTACATAACATGTATTGTATTCTGATTACAAGTACTTTATGAATAAGATGAGTTACAAAAAATTAATCCACACTTCTTGGTTTTGCTTACAAAAAATGCTAACTTGTTATATTATGAGGCGCAGTTCTTCTTGCCTGCAAAACCAATTGGTTTTATGGTGTAACATATCACTTGCAATTCAAAAAATAATGTGCCTGTCATACTTTACAAATAGAGGATATTGAATGAGTGTAAGTTCAATACTGAATTTATTGCACGAGTTGAATAAAATTATATTATGCGAGCCTCTATTTATCACATAAATAAAATAAAGACCGTTTAAAGTGAAATAAGAGTCATATTTCTTTGACGCGCCTATAGTATAACGCGAACATTTAGCGCGTCTTTATAACGCTAATGACGTCACGTCAAAATATATGCACGGCCGTGCAATACCATATTTACGGAGTCGCAAAATCGGCACGGGTGTGTGATAAATGTGTTTTATTGCATGTTTTATTAATCGCTTCATTGTCATTAATTCTAGATGATGATGGCATGAACGAATTGGAAAGATTAGTTCTTGTTATGCAACGCATCTAAAACATATTTCTCTACCGAATAATGTACCCGTGGCGTCATTAAAAGAATGAATAAATTATATCTAGTTGAATCTAGTAGGTTCTTGTAAGTAATTTATGGAATCTGTTTTAAAACAAATATCTTTTTTCACGCGATCCTAAATATGTACGCAGTAAAAAAAGAAATGTGTAACTTTTTATTGAAAACCCGCTGGAAAATTTCTAACATTTTCAAATTGTGTTTTATGCGTCTCTACTGTTCCATAATATTGTACTCATAACACCATATGTCAAGTGTTGTGGAGACTGCTTGTCGGTGCTGGGGGATAGAGATAATTCCATTTTTCTCCAGAATAGACTCAATCAAACCAAGTCGCAATTTTTACTTTTAAACTTGGTTTTTTATAGCTCTCGAAAAGAATCGCCGCTTTTCCAGATTTTTCTTTTACGATATAGAGTCACAGTACCTGTGCTCGACCAGCCCAGTGCTCGACCAATACTTCTATTTGTGTACGATTTATGCATTAAAGTGGAAAAACTCTAGGAGTTTGTGTGTGCTATTTGTACCTGACCTGTAACCTCTACACCATGTACAAGTACTCCAAGCTTGATAGAAGATTGGCCATTTTGCAGGCAATATTTAACAGTACAAAAATACAATTCTATAATACAAGTAGCAGTAAAAACTATTTAAAACACTGAAATAATGATAATAAAGGGCAAATGTGGACAATACTTTGTTAAATTGCCTTTACTCTAATGATTCCAATTGATTTCCATAGGAAAGGTGCTCAAAAATTATCAAAACCCTGCTTTCCATAAAAGGCAGGGGCTATGAACATGTAAACAAATATGGCAGCAATACTGAAACAATTTGGGAACACACCACTAAAAGGGAAGACAATTTGTATATTACACCAATTATCACACTAAACTATGTTTGCAGAGTGATTTTAGTAAAAAAAAATATGAGAATATGTAATCTCAAACACCCCAGTATATGTAAATTCCAAAACTCTTATAATTTAATAAACTCTTATTATTTGTCAATGTATAGCATTTCCTTCGTATCATATTTGCTCTCATATTTACATCTATAGACACTAAAACATAAATGTTTCAAAATATTTTTGAAATAGAATTGTTGAACATAAAAAGTCATATCTGTTTTTAAAAAATAAAAATTCTGATAGAGATAAAACCACCTGGTCGAGCACTGGTTTGGTTGCCTGAAAAATATAGTGGTTTTATACCCTATATACAACTCCGTGGTAAATTGTATCCTGATCTGTGTATTTAAAAAGCTTTAGCTTATTGTGAGTTAGAAAGGGCCAGCTTTGTAACAAAAATAAGTTTCCCAGCAAACTTTTTGTTCTGAAAGAGTTTTTATGTGATTTTGTGCAAAACTGGTTGAGCACTGGTACGGTGACTCTACTTGTTTTCCATTAAAAAAAAATTCCTGGTCCAAACAATGCATTTTTTTCTAGATATTCAACCACTTTCTCAATAAATACCTTAAATGAACTTGTCCATCTTTCAATTTAGACAACACTTTTCATCATTTTAGGGAAAATTGCAAAAAGCGAACAGAATTGAATAGCAAATCCATATTACATGTTTGGTTCCATGGCAAAGAATAATTTCTTTCTGGTCATGATCAGGTAACTTTTTCTAGATGTTTAAACAATTTCCATATATATATTGTTTCGAAGAAAAAGTCAAGCCATTACTCCTATAATCACTAGGAGAAACAGAAGCGAACAAAGCGATCGTTAAATGCTATGCAAAAGCCATAATAAGTCTTATCATATTATTTGATTAGGTTATTGCATATTTTACATAATTTCTCATCAGCTTCATTGAATACTTAACGTTCAGGTTTCATTTAGCTAATTCGGATGGCAGGTGTTTTTTATTATCTCTTACCAACAGCTTTTATTAGACCAGGCCACTTGAAGTTTCTCTGATTCCATTGTTCCAACAGTATACAATACATGTTAGAACGTTAAATTCAAATACAATGTAAAACCTTCCTTTATAACTTTGGTTTGTAAGCTCATTGATTGAAAACCCATCACAGGAATCTTTGTAACGAATTTATTATGCTGCAAACTTTCTTTTTGGAGAAAAAAGTGAGATTTCTTCGTAAATTGACAACATATAGCCTTGTATGAAAAGCTACGTTACAAACGTGCAGTATTATATTTTTTTGCATTAAGATAAAGTAATGATGCGGCTTCCATTAAACACTATAGAATAAACAAAATTGTTAACGTCCGATCGATTGCTTGTTTCAGACATAGATGGGGTCATGATATTATGCTGCAGGACCATCATCAGCAGGGAGTGGGGGTTTAAGAGATAAGACTTAAGTGAAAGTAATTCTATGCTAAGATTTCGTACAGAAAATCTATACATATGTATGAGGAAATGAGAAAGGTGAGCACATTTGTAATTCCACATACAGTTTTTTTGTCTGTGCTTTGATAATATTATATACAAACAAAAGAAATGACATTTATTGTGAATCAAAATTATTTAATGCAACTTTCATTATAAACACCATGATTCCATGGAAAAGATGAAAAGCAAAGCTAAAACAACAGTAAATCTATTTTCTAAATCATTAGCCGTGAGAGGGGGCAGCTGGAGTTGGTTCACGCCCAACAGTAGTTGGAGCAGCAGTTGGTTTCACTGCACATACTGCAAGTAAATCATTTTTATTGTTCTTTCTTACCTAAAATCATTTTTAAAGCCAAGTACTATATATATGTGAGTTTTGTTGCTTCTATCTGACTGATAGTCATTCTTGTAAAATAACTTATTGTTATTTATTGCATCAGGGAAGACCCGTTGCTTATGTTGAGAGAACTTGTGGGTCAACCCTTTTGCCAAATATGCCATGTCATTGTATTGTACGAAACTGTCTTTATGTATGTATATGTCTTATTTTTGGCAATAAAATATGTTTAAATCAAAATCAATCACATACTGCAAGTGTTGATCCAAAATCAAACGAAGGTGGACACATGCAGCTTGTATATGGATTTGGATTATATACTTCTCCCTTCTTTATAATGGTTCCGTCCGAGTGTTTACAGTTCTCGCCTGAAATATAAAATCTAAAAATGACAACATCAATAAATGTTATTTTCAAATTGTATATGTAATAAGTTAAATAGTTTGTTTGTCGTGTAATGGATAAACAGTACACCCTTTTAAGTTTGGATAATTTACCCTCGGCACCCTACTGGTTGCTACACCACTCATTAGCAATTTACTTGATTTTGGCCTACGTCATTATGTGTGTACCACATGTTGCTAGTTCATTGAGTTCAAGGATTCAAACATTCGGAATATTTGCCTTTACCTATATTTACCAAAGACTTTAAAATATGACGAAATGGGCAAAAAAAGATACAAAAAGTGAAGTTATAAGATTAATTTATTGCTCAGGCGACTTCAAATACTTGAATTGTTCTTTAAATATTCTCACGTAGACATACTTTATTAAACCTGTAGTTATTTCTATACATTTCTACTTCTACCGATAGAAATATTGGTAATAATTGCAAAGAATATGAAAACAAATTCTCTTACCGTTAGGACACTGAGGGCAGCATTTTTTAGGATCATGTACGGCGTCAACACATGGTGTGAAGAAGCAATCGACAATAGCACACATATGATGACCATCAGCACTGCAAAAACAATGTTCACAAGGAGTCGGCCGAAATCTCTCTCCTATTTGGTAAGTCTTCCCATCACGAACACATACGTGCTTTAATGTAGGCGGGGTAGATTTAGCGAGACAGGATGTTGTAAATGCAAATAACAAACAAATAAAAGAAAACATGTCTGTCTTCTCAACTTTAGAACGAAATACAGTTATCGTATATTGGTTGATAAAGTACTACAGTCTGTCTTTTCTCAGTTTACTACAAGTATGTACGTCAAACAATAACAACAACACTGAAATACAATAATGACGTCATAGACGTCAACGTATCACAAAGCGCCATTTACGTACAAAGTAGCGCGGGAAAGTATAATGTAAATCTACGACAACAGTACAGAACAACACGACTTTCTTAATAAGAATCTTAATATGGTAACAGCCTGGCCTCTCAATTTGTGTTTAATGCGTACACTGATAAGATATGTACTTGTTGTTAAAATAATATTTATAGGGCCATCACATATTTTATGAAGCCTAGCTGGTATTAAATCGAGACAGTATATTTTCGTATCAAACATTTTGATTAAAAATTCTCACTTAAGAGTTTAAATTAGGAATACACCATTATTGATGACGAAGAGTACGCTTCGAAACGACTTTCACCGTCGTATTTTCGTTGTTTCGATTTATGTGTGTGTTGCGAGTTTTCACCATCGAATTTTCGACTTTTCATCATCGTGGTTTCGACTTTTCACCATCGTAATTTCGTATTTATAATATATGTACAGCAAACTTCCTTTTTGAAAGTGAGATTTCTTCGTAAATTGACAACAGCCGTGTATATTGTAATGTCACTTTTCGTTAAATAATCGTGACGTTTATATACTGCACGATTGTAACGCCGCGTTTCATTGGATAATCGTGACGTTTATATTATTATTAGTTATAAAGATTTTTACAGGTTATATGGTCATATATAAACGGTTGTTTGCAATATAACCCTCGCCGCTATCTTAAATGGACTTTTCTATCTTTCAAACTGGAACACATTTCACCATTTTTATTGAAAATTGCAAAGTGTGAACAGACTGAATAGCAAAGTGGGCAGATGATAATCAGACTGCATGCATGGCCACCAAAAGGTTTAGGGTTTGGAGGGTAATTACAAATCACATATAGAATACTGTATTTTCTTCTAGTGTGTCCCTACTCTTGAAAATATTTCGTATCGTATATATTTCCTCTAATACACTTACTCGATCCAACCAACTAATTCATTCTGCTATAGCAATGTAGTATTAAATACGCTGCGCCACATCAATTTATCTCTATCTAATTCGCTAATGCCATCAACATCAAGAATAATTGACAACAATTACAAAAAAAAAACAGAAAAGAGTCTGATTTTTTTTTCATAAAGTTGCTTATAATAAACAGCATACCTGTTGCGTATTCCCGCGAAGTGACTCCGTATGTTCTTCACTACAAAATAAATAAATACAAACATATATTTTGTGCAAAAATTATACGTTTTTGTTTTTGTCTTGTTTTTCTGTCATTTACAGTCAAAGAGAAATTTCATATTTTAATTATACGGGTCGCAAGTGAGGTTAGTTAAAAGCTGATCAAAGATGTCTAACCATATAATACATAAACTTACAAAGAATCATATAAAATAGGTACTTTCCATTGGTTGAGTTTTTGATACGAGACATTGACTTGATAAAATAAACAGTTTGAACTATATTGAAAACATCGTATCTTTATTAATTCCCCTTATTTTTTATTGTTATTTAAATCATCATTTAAGAAACATTTATTACCAATCATAAGGCAAAATAGCCTGGAAAATATTATATATATTATAATAGCCAAAGCTATTATTTTGCATAGCTTAAACGTTACCTAAATATCTATAGACAGACGCTCGGACACGGTGAAGCATTTTAAAATGATAGTTTTTCATTCATTGCGTCTTTCGATGTGCCGGCTGATCTAAGTCTGCATTGGTTGCGTGCGCAAAATTTGTTGCCGCAAACAGGTTAAAAGGTTAAGTTTCCCGTCAAGTGGTTTGCGCATGATAAACTTACTAAGGTAGATATTGAGTATTTTGTTAGGGAATATTGTATCATTTACTTCTGAAATGATTCATTAGACGCTTTTAATAAAAAAACACTTTACGCAGATAAGAATGTGCAAACAACGTAATTATAAACTTTTTCAAAAACAATTATGGCAAATTTTGCAAGTTTAATATAACTCCCACCCACTTTATCCGAAACTTCAAAACTTTGAAGAATTAGATACCCTTTTTGATATCAACTACCATCAATTTACTTTAACGGAGTAGAAATGAAAGATTTGCGACGCGAATGAATACATTTGAGCCGCGTCATGACAAAACCAACATAATAGGTTTGCGACAAGCATGGATCCAGACCAGCCTGCGCATCCGCACAGTCTGATCAGGATCCATGCTGTTCGCTATCATTTTATTTACTTGTTATAGTGTCTGTAAGCGAACAGCATGGATCCTGATCAGACTGTGCGGATGCGCAGGCTGGTCTGGATCCATGCTGGTCGCAACCGCACTATGTTGGTTTTTTGCGTGACGCGGCTCATTTATACAATGGATAATATATAATATTCATTATTAAATTTCGAAACAAACACAACATTTATGGAATTAAACAATATACGGTATGTGTTGTAGGTTTTTGCATCATATATATTTATATATGCTTTTTATGCACGCAGTATTGTACGAAACCCTAATGATATCAAATAAAATAAAGTGTTCCGCGCTATTTCGCCTTTTGTTTTGCATTATAACACTTTTTGTTTAGTGTTATTACGCATTTTGTTTCGCGTAATAACGCGTTGTATTCTCGTTATTGTGCCTTTTTATTCGCGTTATTACGCCATTCATGTAGCGTGTTTACGCCTTTATTCGCGTCATTACGCCTTTTGCGCGTTATAACACCTTTTGTTTCGCGTAAATAACATTTTGATTCGCGTTATAACACCTTTCAAATCTCTTTGATACTATAAGGCTTTCGTAGTATTGCATATGGCAAACAAATATTCATATTCATATGTCATACATTCCAGCTGAATAATTTTTGCTGATAACTTTTACTGATCATTTTTACTGATCATTTTTACTGATCATTTTTGCTCATTATGTAAGTAATATGGCAAAACCAACGTTAGCTGCAGCTGGAATGCAAGGAGAAAAACAACTGGCTGATAATTGATACTATATTTACATATTGTTATTTTGCAATGCATTTTGGGTAAATCCTGTAATTTAAGAATCTATGAAGATTGAAGAATACTCGGTGTCGGTTATAGTATAGTTAATGTTTATCGGCTGCGTGGGAGGTCACCATTATGCTTTGAGGTGCGAAATGAATTTGTATTTCTTTCATTTTTACTTTAAAAAAATATTTTCTTTAATGTAAATTCAGTCCGAAATTAGGCTAGACTTTAAGATATGATTTGACGAAGTTATTGAAGATATAAACTGGTCATATACATATTTTAAGACTTCACAATTGACTTTTCTGTTCAAATTTTCTACTCATTTATTCTTATCTGTTACTTTTTACGTTGATCAAACAATACAAAATATGTTTTTTTCAATACTGTATACCGTTGTTAGGATGGCGCTAATAAGGTGGATGGATTACATAGATGGATTAATGTAAAATGTACGTTTTCTTGTTATTTTCCCAAAAAAGCACACATTAGACTAATAAGCAGAACGCCAGTTTTAAACCGGATTCCTACCATATGCTTTTTACGTGGATTTTAATTGCCGTTTGCGATGTGTTAGTTACTTTCTTTGTCTACTTCACAATATTTTACTTTTTACCACATAATCAAAATTGTCGTGAAGATTAGCGTGAATCTGGAGGCATGCTGATTCAAACAAATATTAGTTTCGGACGTAATCAGAAAACATATCAATCTGAAATGTTCTATATCGCTCTGAAGTAATGCTGCGTGTTTTTTGCGAAGTTCAGTGTTGGAAATCGTTTTTCGATGAATTTATATATTATTAGTTATAAAGATTTTGACAGGTTATATGGCCCTATATAAACGGTTGTTTGTAAATATAACCCGAGCCGCTAGGCGAGGGTTATATTGCAAACAACCGTTTATATACGGCCATATTACCTGTCAGAAATATTTATAACGAATTTATAATACAGCAAGCATCATTTATAGAGGAATAAAGCGAGATTTCTTTATAAATCGAGAGCAGCCGTGTATATAAAACTTTATAATACTGCACGTTTGTAACGTCGCTTTTCATTGGATAATCGTGACGTTTATATAGTTTTATATACACGGCTGCTGTCGATTTATGAAGAATGCTTACTTTTTTCTCTTAAAAATGATGCTTGCTGTATTATAAATTCGTTATAAATATTTCTGACAGGTTATATGGCCGTATATAAACGGTTGTTTGCGATATAACCCTCGCCTAGCGGCTCGGGTTATATTTACAAACAACCGTTTATATAGGGCCATATAACCTGTCAACAATATTTATAACTAATAATATAAACGTCATGATTATCCAATGAAAAGTGACGTTACAAACGTCCAGTATTATAAAAAACTATATAAACATCACGCATACCCAATGAAAAGCGACGTTACAAACGTGCAGTAATATAAATGTCATTAATTAAATAACTTATTTATAAATAATTTGTGTGCAAACTTTCAGATCATTTGCTCAATACGTTTTTCCTTAATAATAATTTTTATTTTGCATTCCGGAATAGATCTATTTATTTATTTATTTATTTATTTATTTATTTATTTATTTATTTATTTATTTATTTATTTATTTATTTATTTATTTATTTATTTATTTATTTATTTATTTATTTATATTTATTTATTTATTTATTATCCTTTTCATATTTTCCATTTTACTTATTCTAAGTGCCTAAGTTGAATTTTGTAAGGTTTTCAAATTTATGTTTAAGGCGTTTGGACCTCAGAGGAGCTCTTTGAATGTGTATTTTATTAGTTCACTACATTTAAAGCAGCACGCCTCCAGTTTAATGCTTATTTTCAGGAAAATTTTGAAAATGTATTTAACAGTACAATATTGTATAGTTACCGAAAGGAAGAAACTTACACGTTATCAATGGCACTTACAACCCACGTAAATTACAAAAATAGGTAAAAATATCCAAAAATTGACCTTACTGCGTTAGTAACGCAGTAGAATTATAGTTAGAAATGATGAAAAAAAGCAATTAGTCACTTATAATATGTAAAATTTTACTTGAATATTGAATCTTTCTAATTTTTCTAAACTTTTAGTAAATTTTTCTCAAGGTTGATTTCATTGAAATATTTTGGCTCATCTGGAGGTATGCTGCTTTTAAGGCACATTATAACTCAGAAACTAATGACTTTCTTCCTGAGAAAGGGCAAATATGAGTTTTACTACGTTAAAATAATGCTTTTACAGCCAGCTGGATGCTTATTTTCTGTAAAAAGTAGCGCTGATGGAAATTATTTGTCATGAAAGTAAACAAATGTAAACAAAGAGGTAGTCTGACTTCCATACACAATACTAAATCTCTATAACTGTATTAATTGCCAAAAGGCATAACATGCAAAATATGGTTCATGTAAATTGCAAATAAGTAACTTTTTGGAAACGCTAACAGGACATTAAGGGTAAAAAGCTTTTGTGAAATAAACATAATAGCATTTTTGGGGTCATAATGGGCCTTTAAAACACATCACTTATTTTTTGATGACTGCAAAGTGAGCAAGTCCTATTTACTCTTTCAATGCCAAAACTAGCGACCTTTCGTTACAGGAACTCAGAATTGAGACAGTAAAAAGTAAGAAAGATAGAACCGTAAGAAGTTAACTTAATGTCCTGCCGGTACACCATACTTGTATGTATTTTGTTAAAAATAGGTTTATTTATATGCATATACTTCTGTTTATAGCGAATTGGTTAATCCATAACTGGGTATTCTTTCATTCCTACTGACCGTAAAAATAGATTAAACCAGTTAAGTTCAACCCGAAGAAAATTGTGATCGATTTAAGTTGTGAAATGAAGACTTATCCGTGATAAACGGGTATACGTTAACATACTTTGATAATACTATTTAAATTCATACGAGGATGGAATGTGTGTTACTATATTACTAAATTTAAAAAAAAAGCTGGTTCAGATTTCGACTTGTGAGTGTAAGAAAAAAAATATATATACATTTATACACGTTTGTGAAAGTAAGCTGACGACATGGACATTATTGACAGAAAGAGGAATCTTGTTCTTATTTAAGATTCACATAAGTTAAGTGAAGTGAAGTGAAGTAAAGTGAAGATTCAGAGATGAGACGGAATATTTCGTCTGGCGAACGGTCGTCTGCTGAGGAGACGGATGAACGTGCTGAAACATCCGGAAATCTAGCTGCAGACGACAGTTGGAACATTTTCCGGTACGCCAGAGACAAATGGAATCAGGTACAATGTTGTTTAATAACTTGATAAAAGTGTAAAATCATACGATTGACTAAACGTATCAGTTACTATTGAAAGTTTTCGTAAAAGAAGATCTACATGTACTTGTAAATAAAAAGCATATCAAATATCATGAAGATACATATTTTGCACCTACCGACTTATAACTATAATATACAGTCATGTATAAGATAACTATATGAATGAATGAATAAATTAACCATACCATATTACCTCTAAATTTCAACTGAAAACAAATAAAATATCTTGGGATACGAGAAATTTGTATTCGGTTAGATTTATTCTCTTACAAACTTCATGTATTTAAATATTAATTGATTTTTAGCCGCCGATTATAAAGGAAAATATCTCCAGTTACACAACATGTATTTCGTTTTTAACTTTTTATAGAACGTCGTACTATATGATACAAATCAAGTGTGACGATAGTTTTGTATGGAAGACCAGGGGGACATTTTAACTTCATAAATTCGTTAATTCAAATTCATTTATTCACAATTTCAACTTCATACATCAGTTATTTAATAAAAAAAAAAATAAAAAATGCCACAAAACAACAATTTTTAATCAAAATTAGATGAAAGGCCACGTGTTAACATGGAAAAACTAGATTTTGAGTTATTCGAAGGTTGTTCATCATTTTTTTTAATCATATTGAATTAATGAATTGTCCATTTCAATATTATGGATTCACGATGTCAACGTAACGAATTTACTATTTCAGCTTCAAAAGTTCAAGATTTCACGTTTTGATCTTCACGAATTTAACTTCTTGAATTTACAATTTCAGAAAACTGTAACACATCATTTGATACGAAACAAACAACCAAGGTTATTCAGATAAGCTGATGACCATGAATGGATAGTGTTCACGCCGGTGTTATCCGAAAATATTTATCTTCCTTTTTGCATACATCTGCATTATTTTTAACTAAAAACAAAACTAAAATCGCCAGTACCACACTTTACACCAAAACGATTGTTTTTGTGTCTTACTACCACAGAACGATAATTAGGCGTAATAACTCAATGGTGATCACATCATAAACGTACGATAGACCGGTGGGAACATTTCAACCTCAGAATGTCCCGATTTCGTCACAATTTTATCATCGTGAATTCACGTTTTCAAGATACGGAATTCACGAACTTGAAATCGTGAATTCACGAAGATGAAATCATGAAGTTCAATACGTAAATTCATGAATTTGGATTCGTGAAGTTGAAATGTTGAAATCGTGAATTCGTGAAGTTGAAAACGTGAATTCAAGAAGTTGATCTTTCATTCAAGCAATACTACTTCCGCACTGTGTGTGTGTGTGGGGGGGGGGGTATATTTATTTATTGAAAATACCAAACCTTACTATTTTTCTATGTGGAAAGCGTTTTGTCACTATTTCTTGTAGCATGTTTTATATTTAGCATTAATTTTTTACAACAATCAGATACTTAAGAAGGGAGGGGGTGGGGGGAATTCATAATAAAAAAAGATAAACAACAACAAATAATTTACAAAAAGTATGTGTACAGGGACGGCTCGAACTCACACCTTGCGGCAAAGATATTACTATACATATGCCGATATCATGCCAACAACGCAACAAACTAATATAGGATATTATTATTAGTAAGGTGTAGCTTTATTCCCATTTATACCATTTAAAAGCGATTTTCATTGCTGGGTCACTTTGCACAATTAAAAGAATTATTTTTAGGTAAATTTCAGGATATCGAGAACAAAATAGCCGGCAGGAAAAATGGCAAAACAATCTTGCATATTAAAAAATGAGTCTATATTGTCCTGTTTATTTGTTTTAAATTACTTAAAAAATAGTTCTATTTGTTTTACTTCCACGCACAACGATATTTTGATACTTCGTTTATTTTCAATCTGTAAAGAACGGTTTGAATGCATGGCTAAAAATAGCTTTCTCGAGAAATCCTAATCGCAATGAAGTCGAAACATATAAGGTGGTAATCAGATCTACATGTAAGAAATAAGTAGATCTGAATTTAAGTCAGATTGGGTGCAAATTACTCATCATCTATCTTGAATCATGTGTCATCATCGACATACAAAAGGGAAAAAACTAAATCTATTTATATAGTAATGTGGGTATATTACAAGATAAGAGACGTCACGTTTTCATTTAAATTTAGTACTTCATAAATGATAAATTATCCGATTCTTAAGTCACATAATCTAGATAAAGGAATTTCTTTCATTAAAATAGCCCTTGAAAGTGAATGTTATCCGTAAGACATATTTATTTAACGTTTTTGGACTATGACCAGATGAATATGTACGAGACGGTGACAACATTTTTTTTCATTTCAATCCACAGATGGCCAGATGAAAACGTTAATAGAATGAAGCTAATGCATAATAAAATGATAATAATTTATTTATTTATTCATTCTTTCATGAATGAATGAATGAATGAATGAATGAATGAATGAATGAATGAATGAATGAATGAATGAATGAATGAATGAATGAATGAATAAATGAATGAATGAATGAATGAATTTATTTATTTATTTATTCATTTATTTATTTATTTATATTTATTAATTAATTAATTAATTTATTTATTTATTTATTTATTTATTTATTTATTTATTTATTTATTTATTTATTTATTGTGATAATAAAAAACAACACATTTTGAAAGCCAGTTCGTCCAAAGATTACTTGCGTACCTTATAGAGGAATAATCAAATGGAAACCCACCCCCCACCCCCCCCCCCCCCCCCAAAAAAAAAAAAAAACAATAAACAAGAGATGAAGCTCATTTTCACATTTTCAGATAGACACGACACACAGTGATAAAAACCATATTTTTCATCGTCTAATTTTACATTTTACCCTTATCTTTAATTAAAAATTCCCATTTTTATATAAAACTACAAATATACATGTATTACAAATATATACTTTTTTTTTAATATTAATATTTTCAGTTCGGACGATGGCGCTCTCCTGGTCTCTATGATGATATTAAAGCCAGCACGGATAACACGTGCAAAAACACAGGTAAGATTGTGTTGGTTTCGAATTTTATATAGTATACATGTACACTGGGCATGTAAAAGAACCAAGGGGTCTATTCAATAAGAGCTAGGGACTGGTTCCCGGATTCCCTTGTATCTTATAGCTGTTTCTTAAATGTATACAATGTATACCTGCCTTTAACACTCGTAAGAGGGGTTGGCAGTATCCAGAGATAGATAGATAGATTAAATATTTGATGTTATTTTTATATTATCACCTAACTGTAAGGCTGTATAGATGGTGCCTCCTCCACTCACGCACTGTTAACGCGCTTTATTGTTCTAGTAAGGATTATACAAATCCATTTTAGTTCAAATGTGTTGGACGCTATAACGTTATTGAAACACTCTCGAATCCGCTCCTGGAGCCAACCTTGTTCTAAGCAATGAATGTAAAATTTCTTGCTTAAGGAAACAAATTAACGGCTCGCGCGTCGACAGTGTTTGAAACCATGCGATCAGCAATCCTTAGATTACCAATCCGACGCGTTAACCGCTCGGCCACGACGCCACACTAAGACCGGAAATAGATAAAAACTGTCAGCATCCCAATTGCTGGAACAAATAAACAAAACTGAAGGCTTTTAAGCATGATCCCCAAAACATACTGTCCATGTGCAGCTGTTAAAAATTGATGGGGAAAACTTATCTTTTCTTTACTCACCTCATAATTCATAACATTTTTATTTTCTAAATAGTAATAACTACATGTGACTTAGTTGTCAGGGTTTAATCGAACTACTGGCACTGCTCTAATATGCTAGTATTTTGAAGTTTTTAAAGATTTTAAGGGATAAGTTTTTTTTAACATAAAAAGTCCCATTCATATTACGTAATCTTATGGCAAACTTTAGTGTCACGCGATTAATAAATCACGCAACAGTTGCCAAAAACAAAACAAAACAAAACTCATGACGCTATAAGATTACGTAAAAGAAATCCCTACCCTCGCCAAAATTTGACATGCATTTGTCATACTGATAAGCCAAACATTTTCCCCGTTTTCATTTCCTTTATTTGATTATAAATTATTTTAGATACTTCGGTATAGCTAGATTTACTATCGTACGAAAAGGGTGTCGAAATGCATTTTGCTACATAAGATTTCGCAATTCCTTTAAAACATTTTCTAATTTTAGAATGTCATGACGGTACATCGAAAGTCAACTTCCGATACAGTGATGGATCAACGCCTCTGACTCGAGCACTAAAATTAAATGATCAAAAGAATTTAGAGTACTTATTACAAGTACAGGGTATAGATTTGAGTTATCCAGAAAAAATGGTTACTGCGCCAGGGAGTGTATACATGTAAGTATAAATTGTAATTTCTCAAATTATGAATTATCTCAGTATAATTATTATCATTTTATTATCATATGCGTTATAAGATTCATAATTCGTTATTGGTTATGACACTGCTCGTTTGTAACGTCAATTTTCATTGGATAAGCATGACGTAAATATATTCTTTATAATACTGCACGTTTGTAACGTCACTTTTCACTGAATAAACATGACGTTTATATTTTCTGTATTAACGGCTGATGTCAATTTATGGGGTAAATTTCGTTTATTCTTTAATTAGTTGTGTTGTATCATAAATTTGTCATAAACATGTGCGCCAGGTTATATGACCGTATATATATAAACGGTAATTTGCAATATAACACTAGCGGCTCTGGTTATATAAGTTTACTGTCGTTTAAAATTGGTCATATAACCCGTCAAACATATTTACAAGTTATTAAGATTTTTACAGGTTATATGGCCATATATACACAGTTTTTGGGAATATAACATGAGCCGCTAGGCGATGGTTATATTGCTAACAATCGTTGATATATACGGCAATTTAACCTGTACTGAATTCATAATACAAAAGCATCATTGTTTTTGATAACAATGGAGATTTTTTCATTTTTTAACTTAATATACGTTACGATTATCCAATGAAAAGCGACATTATAAACAGAAAGTATAAATGGGAGGAAATTTAATTAGAAAAAAAAACAATGATTTATTCAATGCATAGTAACAAATACTAGTATCGACGAATAAAATCAATATGAAGTGATAATTCATGCAGGGAAATTAAATCTTATTTGAACACCGTGTTCAATTAAGAAAAGAGTAATATTTTATCTTTATTTTATCTTTGCAATGGTAAAAAGAAAAAAAGAGTAAATTTGTAGAAAAAATCATTAATCATTAAAGTGGATTGGTCTACAACGGGCACATTTTCATTTAGAATTTCAAATATTAATAAAAACAATAGAAATGTATCATTTGGATATTCTTATAGAATAATGCCTGCAAAAAAATGTTGATAAAGTTTTAAGTAATGCATCTCACAGGTTATCTAAATTCTTCCATGGTTTGCGTTATGTCTAATACTAAGTACTATCAACACAGATATCTGTTGGCCATAAGCGCGTGCATAACACACAGATATTTGATGGCAATAAGCCCGTGCATAACACACATATATCTATTAGCAATAAGCCCGTGCATAACACACATTTATATGTTTGCAGTATAAGCCCGTGCAGTATAAGCTAGTGCATAACTGCATAACAAAATTAGGTTGAGGCGGAGAAACATTCCAGATTAACATAGTAACAAATTAGTTTCAAATTATTTACTCGGTATTAGTATTTGGTTTGTGTATTCGTCATTCAAACAATTTTACACACAAAATAAACTGTTGTATTTTCAGTGAACCTGGTCAACCTCCCTTAATTGTAGCAGTGGTAACTGGTCGTATACATTTAGTAAAACAATTGCTGGACGCCGGAGCCGACGTTAATGCTATGGACGAGAACAAGTAATAAGATTATATTTTTGTTGTTGTTTTTGTTGTTTTTCCTGTCTTTTTTGCGGTTGTTAGTGTTATTGTTGTTGTTCTGTTTGGTTTTTAGTTACATTGACAATTTAAAGGTCATATAGCGACTGTCCAGCTTTACTGGTAATGGAAGGGCCTTTATATGCACTAATGGGTACCTAATTTGAACCACCCCCGACGGTCCGTATGCTAGCTGGATAGCTTCCTCACAAGAAAGAATCAAAATGTTCTTGCGGGTTTCTAACCCATGGTGGTGAGGAGCAAGTGATTTAAAGCCAACGAATTATAAAATGAATGAAAATGTCATTGAAGATCTGTTTCCCAGACGACAATTCGTCATATTAGGTCATAATGAAATTTACTAGAGGAAACCTACTGGGAGTTTAAGAAGGTTAAGATAAATAGGAAAATTGCCTGTCAAGTAAATTAAGAAAACAAGTCTAGCATCAAATGCTATTATCATACTGGTAATATAATGTCAGTCACATTCATACCGCCTTAATCCGGACATGTAGAGCTGTTATTAAGGTTGTGAGTGAATCAGAGATTTAGAGTGCTCTAGTTTCAAAGCAGGACACATTAATTTTGAAGAAATTTTTAATCTTCATAAAAATCATGTGATTTATTTGCCAGTGATTTTATTAACATTTATTACTTCTTTTCCGTCTTGTCTTGAATTTAACCTTAACCCTATATCCGCTTTTTCTTAAATGGACTAGACCAGTTTTAACGATTAAAAATAGCTATCTATTTTTGTTCTTAAAGGCCCCGTATGCCTCAGAAATGTTTTTATTTTCAGTTCTTAAAAGATTTTCATTTTGGTGTTCTGTTATAGTTTTATAAAAGTTACTAATTGGCCAATTACCCCAGAACAATATTTTGCTACTGTTGCTTTTTTAGAAATAAGTAAAGTTATATTTTCTTAGTATGGAAGTGAAAATACTTTTATTACAAATAATGCTATATTAAGCACTTCTTTCTTCAGGTAATAAAACCATTAACTCTAACATGATAAAACTCATGTCTGCGCTTTCTAAAGAAAGAAAAATATCTGTTTCTGAGGCCTTTAAGTAAATATTGAACGCATTTTACGAGCTTTTTAGGAACTGTTATAATTAATTTTGGGGATATCAAGATGAAATTTTAAGGTGTAGCAGCTAAAAGTAGACAGCTTGCTCAGGCTGCACACATCTGAAGGTTGGCCTGTCTCTATGTTGGTTGCAAAAGCTAAACTATTTTGGTACTAGACAGCTTGGAGATAAGGCATTTTTGAATGATTTTGAAAATGGATGTTTTTGACGACAAGAACCGACCACAGACAAACATTTTTTTTTTTGCTTTTTTAAGTCACGGGTGAGCCACATTCTGAAATATTTTCATAATGTGGTTAAAATATTTCTGTTACTAGTTGAACAACCTTACAAATACTGCAACATGGATCATTTTGTCAAGGTCAAATTGATTAGTCATTACCTGTCAAGGAAAGTGATCAGCGTTTGAAGTCTACCGATCATTACATTGTTTACACGTCTGAAACAAGACTTCAACTACATCATGTCAGATATGCCACATTTTTAATCCCAATTTGTTCAAGGGTTTGTTGAACAAAGTAAGAATTGTAAGCAATATGTAACGATATATTCTTTATTTATTTAGATACACAGCCTTGTATCATAGCGTCTACAAAGGATACACGGATATCACGCATCTGCTTTTACAGCATCACCCTATTCTTGAATGCGACAAGAACCGTTACGATCCAATACACGTGGCTTGTCAACAAGGCAACTTCAACATTGCCACAATGTTAGTCAACGCTGGTAGGTTCTCCTTAAATATTTGGATATTTTGTATTTAAACAATATCATTTACCTTTTCATGATACGTAAATTAACATAGCCGTAGATTTATTTCAAGAACCTTACAAAGATATCATATTCATTAGAAACACAAGCCATTGCCAGTGGAGGGGGGGGGGGGGGAAGGGGGTATCTCGACTTTTCCAACTTTCTAAAGTCAATAAATCCGAAGACGGAATAATATTGTATAGTAGAATATACCTATAATACATAATTTTTTTGGACAAAATATCATTCAATTTTCATGCATGACCTTGACTGTCAACGCAATTTACAGATCAAGGTCATACTTAAATTATTCAACATGTCTCTGTGGTGATAAGTGTTGCTTTGTCCCAATATGAATTTAACCTGTCCATAATAAGTGATAAGAATTAAAAACAAAGTTATGATAGTTTAAGATAAATTAATTAAAATGTGACCTTGAGGGTCAAGTTCATTTAAATGTCAAGGTCACATTCAATAAAACATTGTGTCAGGTTGGTCATAAGACTTCTTTTTTCCAAGAATGAATATAATCCATAAATGACAGTAATAAAAATTCATGCGTAATACAATATGACTCTGACGGTCAAGGTCATCAACAGGTCAAAGTGATGGTAAAATAATTCGGTCAAATGTGTCGGTTTTGTCTTATGTGTTCTTTTGTGCAAGTATAAATCAAATATCTAAATAATGATAATTTAAGCACATTTCAACAATTAAACCTTGAAGATTTAAGTCCATAATTCAAATGTCAAGTTCGTATTTGAATTATTCGTCATCCGACTTTTCTCATAAGGGTTCTTTTGTCTAACTGTAAAGACAAGTCATGCATTACTTACAAAGTATAGCCAGTAATAGCAAAATAAAAGTGTGAAATTACAATAATTTGGCCTTCAAGGTCAATGTCATTTATGATTCAAGGTCAAACTGAGTTTGATTTGAGCAGGGATTTTCAAATTTAGGTATTCTCATTAGACAAAAAAGTAGGGCATAGTTAAGACAAAAAAGTTTGACTTGTGCATAATGTAGCAAACTTCTGTTAAAAGGCATAAATAAATTGTGAAGAATTTGAATAAGGACTTGAATATTTATTATTGTTCAACATTTATATACAAACCAACATTTCATCTGTATTTGAACAGGTTGCTGTGTTGATCCATGTAAAGACAACATGCTAGTGTCTCCCTTGCAACATGCCATATCAAATAGTTCAGAAGATATATGTTTATACTTGCTAGAACATGGAGCAGATAGAAACAACAAAGGCAACTGTGATTTTGAACCATTCCTTAAAATGTGCCAAATGGGACTTTCTACAGCAGTAGAATTTTGTGTCAACACCGGTTCTAACGTAAATATGAGTACAGAGCACGGGATGACACCATTAATGTTAGCAACTAAACTGCACAATTACAATTCCCAAAGATGTCTCTTGTTCAGTACTACTACAAAGACTGGCAGACTTGAACCAGGTGCATGTGAACTTTACCAAAGGAGAATCAAAACAGCAAAGTGCTTAATTAATGCCAATTGTGACCTTGACCTTACGTGTGAAATAAACACAGTTGTCATGACAGCATTATCCATGGCGGTAAAAGTTTCAAATCTTCCAGTCGCTGTTGTATTACTTAAACACGGTGCTGCGTGGGATGAAAACTGCCACATTGCCCTGAAAGACCAATATAGAACTTGCCAAAGGGAAGCTTTAATACCTAATTTTAATGTGTTCATATTAAAAAGGTACATACCAAAGGTATTAGCCCTGATACCACATATGTATCGTACACAGTTTCAGCAAGAAACGAACCAATGTTTTAATATACCAACCCTCAAGGACGCATGCAGAAAAGTCATTCGAGAGAGGTTAAAAGTATACACAGAATCTAACTTTGTACAAAATTCTTCACTTATGCCCCTTATTCCGTCCCTTAACTTACCAACATTGTTAAAAGATTATCTATGTTATAATGAAATACATGAAGAAGACTTTTCTCCTTCTGTAACCTGACAAAGACTGATTTATTTGTTTTGTGATATTATTTTATTCAAATATATAGATCTCATAAAATATAAGTATTTTCCAAAATATATTCATTCCCAACATAACATACATATCATAACATACCTTAGTGCAGTAACAGGTGAACTCCATATATAATTTAATAGGAGTTAACCCGTTACTGCACTAAGGTAACAATATATACATGTATAAGTATTTATCAAATAAAAATATCAACTATACATGTAAAATCTGTAAGAATTGCTTTTATAATAAAAACATTTGAACTTACATTAAATCTTGTCTTATTGTAACATTATAAATGCTCCATTAAAGTGAATTGGTCTATAATGGAATGTGTGTAAGACAATAAATAATAACTTTGAAAGAATTTAGTATCAGATATAACAACAAACCATGAAAGAATAATTGTTGGTAAGTGTGATACATGATCCAATATAACATATATTTATATAGCAGATAATAAAATGTTCTAGAACAAAATATAATTATTCATCATAATAATGTCCATACTAAATCACTTAGAACTTTATCAACACTTTCTTTTCAAGCAATATTTTGTTAGGATTATCCAAAGGATACATTTCTATTGTTTTTTATCAAAATTTGACACGTTTCTGGGAAATGTGCCCATTGTAGACCAATCCACTGAGACTTAAAATAAATAAAATGTATCTCATATACTTTTTAAGGAAATGACACATATATCATGTTCCATTTTTGTTAGGGGAGTCAATAATTTTTACTGACATAAAAAATCCACTTTTTCTTCAAAACAACACTAAATTCCCCTGTTCAAAACATACATAAACCACTGTTAAGATTACATCATAAAAATCAACATATAAATGTACGCACCAGTTTTACCAAGCCCAAAAATTATTAAATCAAATCTCAAAGGTAAGGCTTTAAAACGTCCACTATTGCTTCGGAAAATTTTGTCCGTTTATTGATGCCAAGATTTTCAATTCGAGAACAGTCCAACTGCGAGTTATCAGGTCTGTTAGCTGTACTACTAGAGGACATATCCGGTGCAATATGTTCAGTTGAAATACCGAAAGCTTTTGCCATTGTCACAGCCATGTCGTATTTGGTGTAAACTTCATTGTTAGACCAGTGAAAGATTCCTTTAATTTCTGGATCCTGAAAATTTAAGTAATGAATGTGTTAACAGATGTAAACAAAGAAATAAGCTCTGTTTCTAAAACATACATGCACCTCTCCTACACGAGCATTTTTAGGGGTTTATTTACTTTAATCAAAAGTTTTGTTTGTTTATTGTGGGTTTTATGTCACATCGACACATTATAGGTCATATCGCGACGTTCCAGCTTTACTGGTGGAGGAAGACCTGAGGTGCCCTTCCGTGCATTATTTCAGGCACGAACGGGTACCTGAGTAGAACCACTGACGTTCTGTAAGCTAGCTGGATAGCTTCCTCACATGAAAGAATCCAAAGTCCCTGTCGGGATCGAACCCACAGCGGTGAGGGGCAAGTGGTTTGAAGTCAACGACCTTAACCACTCGGCCAAGGACCACCCCCCCTTAATTAAAAGTAATTCACAATATAATTTATGGAATCTCCTATTATTCATGTAGCCTAATATGTGTATAAACTTTTCACATATTGCATCTTTAATCAAAAAAAATTTTAATCAAATTTGGTTATATAATATACATGTAGAAAATTGAACCTCAAAATGGCTGCCACTTTTGGCAAGGGAGGTAAATATTGTAAAACTCGAGAACTATCTACTGTTTTATTTTTATATAAATATCCCTAACATAAATAATAGACCAGTCCAAATTCAAAGCAGGACATGTCCATTACAAAAATTCAGCAAATTCAGGGTTAAATATATATTTTTTCACAGAGCTATATTTATATTGGGGAGGGAGCCATGACATCATACACTCAGGGAATGATTATCCCGCAAATTCACATTTTTGTGAGATTTTCCAAGACCATGTTTTTACACAAGAAAAATTGACCGATAAGTACACAACCATTTTATCTAAAATTTGTTATGTTAAGCAAAGGAAGTTACGGAAAAGAAGTTGCAAAAATGTAAAAAAGCATAAGAGATTAGGAAGATGTAAATTACTCTCTGTACTGGATGTTTACACATCCGGCATCCAGTTACGGAAAATGAGATGGTGGAAATTGATAAACTACATGGGCCAATGAATCTTGCGCAAGGGATTGTAGGTCAGGACGGGAAAATTTTCTATTTTTAGAGCTTCTTATCCCTCTGTAATCTAAGTCTCTGATTTCTTTCTAGTTTTCAAATTCATATACAAAACTAATTATTAAATCAACAAGACATATATCACCTATTCTCAATAAAAAAAATCCATTATTATTCAAAAGAATATATTAGTGCTGTTACACATACATTTATATCATATATTCCATGATAAAACGGCACTACAGCTCTTTCGCATAAAGCAGAAATACCACTTGCAAATTAATGGAAATATATCGTGTTATTTAATAGTTCAAGAATTCGTTATCATACACTGTAATGACAAAAAATAACCCGCAGGAAATAATGTAAATTTCCCAGTGGAAACATCTTTCATTGATCGGGGAAATCACCAAATTTTCTGATCATAGATACGAGTCTAGAATGTGTGATAAGTAAACAAACTTTCCATTTGTGGCTGCCGTCGAACTTTACTTACAAAATCATTACACTGACAAAGCCTTTAAAGAACTTCACACGTCACTAACACCCTTGACAGTGTTATACATTTTCACACCAGTAAAAAGGCCTGTCATATTGCTATCAAAATGGGTAATAAATACGACATATAACTGGAATCCAGACATCATCTGATGGAGGAAATATTCAATTAATGAAACCACTCTTGCTCGTGTACAGAATAAAGCTGTAATAATATCATCAAACATGGGAAATAAAATTGGAAGGACTTTGATGACCCATAGATTGTGAATCAACTGTGTTAATGCCTCCAGGAAAGAATACTTTATTGAAATGTAAAAGAAATATATAGTTTTAATGGAAAACACTCACAATTTTCATTGCTCCTCAAAGTAAAACACTTCACAATGTTTTGAATTTTTTATTTCAGTATTTGTGATGGATTTGTTAAGCATTAAATTTTATCAGTACAGTCAAACACGGACAGACCGATCATGCCCTTTATAAACAATTGGTCTTAATATGTAGGTTATTCTGTTCTATGGATTTGTTAAGCATTAAATTTCCATCAATACAGTCAAACCTGTGCACAAAGGCAAACAAAAGGACAAACTGAACATGCCCTTTATAGACAAGTGGTCTTTATATACAGGTTACTATGTTCTATTCAAAAATTGAAGGTTAGTCAGAGTGACCTTTATTTACAGTGTGATCTTTATTCAAAGGAGGTTTTTAAAACAGGTTTGACTGTAGTTACAGGACATTTTTATAATTAAATCTGAACAGCAGCAGATCTGACAGAACAAGTATGCAGTATTGTATTGCCTTATACTGGTAGTATAAGCCTGTCATTTCTATCATCAAATTATCATTTTTTAATATATATTTTTCAATCTTAAAGGCCTTTTAAGCCAAAAATGATATAATTTTTATTCTTTATAAGCACTTTTTTGTGTCCTGTTACATTTTTCAAAAGGTTACTCATTGACAATAATTGTAGCTGATAAACCTTTTGCTGTATTCAGGTGATAAGAATCTTTCAAGTCCTAAATCCACTATAACAACATTATAAAACTCACAATTTCCCTTTTTATGACAGGTAAAAAAGTTCATTCCTTTGGCTTTCTATTTCCTATATTCAATACTGTACAGGAAATATCTGTCATAATCAACATTCTACAAACACTACCTTACATGTTCACTATTGTACATACACTACCTTACATGTTCACTATTGTACTACACTACCTTACATGTTCACTATTGTATATACACTACCTTACATGTTCACTATTGTGCATACACTACCTTACATGTTCACTATTGTACATACACTACCTTACATGTTCACTATAGTACTACATTACCTTACATGTTCACTATTGTATATACACTACCTTACATGTTCACTATTGTACATACACCACCTTACATGTTCACTTTTGTACATACACTACCTTACATGTTCACTATTGTATATACACTACCTTACATGTTCACTATTGTACTACACTACCTTACATGTTCATTATTGTACATACACTACCTTACATGTTCACTTTTGTACATACACTACCTTACATGTTCACTATTGTGCATACATTACCTTACATGTTCACTATTGTATATACACTACCTTATATGTTCACTATTATACATAAACTACCTTACATGTTCACTATTGTACATACACTACTTTACATGCTCATTATTGTACATACACTACCTTACATGTTCACTATTGTACATACACTACTTTACATGCTCATTATTGTACATACACTACCTTACATGTTCACTATTGTATATACACTACCTTACATGTTCACTATTGTACATACACCACCTTACATGTTCACTTTTGTACATACACTACCTTACATGTTCACTATTGTACATGCACTACCTTACATGTTCACTATTGTATATACACTACCTTACATGTTCACTATTGTACTACACTACACACCATGTTCACTATTGTACATACAATACCTTATATGTTCACTTTTGTACATACACTACCTTACATGTTCACTATTGTGCATACACTACCTTACATGTTAACTATTACATACACTACCTTACATGTTCACTATTGTACATACACTACCTTATATGTTCACTATTACATACACTACCTTACATGTTAACTTTTGTGCATACACTACCTTATATGTTCACTATTACATACACTACCTTACATGTTCACTTTTGTGCATACACTACCTTATATGTTCACTATTACATACACTACCTTACATGTTCACTATTACATACACTACCTTACATGTTTACTATTATACATATACTACCTGACATGTTTACTATTCTACATACACAACTATAGATGTTCACTACTGTACATACACCACCTTGCATGTTCACTATTGTACATGCACTACCTTATATGTTCACAATTGTACATACACTACCTCATTTGTTTACCATTGTACATCTACTACCTTACATGTTCATTATTGTACATACACTACCTTACATGTTCACTATTGTACAAACACTACCTTACATGTTCACTATTATACATACACTACCTTACATGTTCACTATTGAACATATACTACCTTACATGTTCACTATTATACATACACTACCTTAAATGCTCACTATTGAACATATACTACCTTACATGTTCACTATTATACATACACTACCTTACATGTTCACTATTGTACATACACCACCTTGCATGTTCACTACTGTACATACACCACCTTACATGTTCACTATTATACATGGCATTGCACTCCCTTATATGTTCAATATTATACATACACTACCTTACATGTTCACTATTGTACATACACTACCTTACATGTTCACTATTGTACATACACCACCTAACATGTTCACTACTGTACAAACACAACTTTAGATGTTCACTACTGTACATACACCACCTTACATTCTTTATTGTACATGCACTACCTTATACATTCACTATTGAACATACACTACCTTACATGTTCATTGTTGTGCATACACTACCTTACATGTTCACTATTGAACATGCACTACCTTATATGTTCACTATTGAACATGCACTACCTTACATGTTCACTATTGTACATACACTACATTATATGTTCACTATTTAACATACACTACCTTACATGTTCATTATTGTACATACACTAACTTTCATGTTCACTATTGTACATACACCACCTTACATGTTCACTATTGTACATGCACTACCTTATATGTTCACTTTTGTCCACACACCACCTTACATGTTCACTATTGTACATGCACTACCTTATCTGTTCACTATTGAACATACACTACCTTACATGTTCATTATTGTACATACACTACCTTTCATGTTCACTATTGTACAAACACTACCTTACATGTTCACTATTGTACATACTGATACACCACCTTACAAGTTCACTCTTGTACATGCACTACCTTATATGTTCACTATTGAACATACACTACCTTACATGTTCACTATTGTACATACACTACCTTAAATGTTCACTATTGTACATGCACTAACTTTCATGTTCACAATTGTACAAACACTACCTTACATGTTCATTATTGAACATACACTACCTTACATGTTCACTATTGTCCATACACTACCTTACATGTTCACTATTGTACATACACTACCTTTTATGTTCACTATTGTACATACACTACCTTACATGTTCACTATTGAACATACACTACCTTACATGTTCACTATTGTACATACACTACCTTACATGTTCACTTTTGTACATACACTAACTTACATTTTCAATATTGTAAATACACTACTTTATTTGCTCATAATTGTACATGTTCGTTATTGAACATGCCGATGTTTGCCATCAAATTTACAACATGTGCACTGCAATGATTTATTTTAGAGCTTTATTTAATTAAATGTCTATTTACCTGTAACTTTTTTTCAGACAGTTCCCTTATGACATATGCAATGTCATCAACAAGTGTGGGAAATCTTTGTTGTTTAGCATCTATTAATGACTTAGTTGAAGTGTCTTTGACCTTTGAAAATAACACTGTTACTGCGCTCTCGGAAAGTTTCTCTATTTCACCATATAAAACAGGAACACGTAACACACCATAACCTGTAAATTTAAGGACGTAACATCAAAATGATATACAAATTACATGCAAGTTGAAGTTAAAATCCATTCACAGATCTTAGGTATCAATTCCACTGAACTTGTGACAACAAAATATTTTTGATTGGTTAAACAGAACATTGACAATGTCCAGTTCTCATAACAACTTCCCAATCTGACAATTTCTAGGCATGAATAAGGGTAGCATTTTTGACCAACCTAAAACATTTTAGAAAAAAAAATCATTGTTGTTTTAAAGGAGCAAGCCTTCAGACGAAAACTACCGTCTTAATAATATTTCAAAGTCCCTCTTCAAAAACGTTATGATGACAGAAATTGGAATGACACTTCAAAACGCTCATATTTAACATTTGTGCTCTGAAAACGAGACAGTTTGTTTTTCCTCCAACAGGATATACTTTTTCTTTTATTTTACTACAGAATTCTTTCATTTGGGTTTTTTCCAGTACCGCATGATGGTAAAGAACAATATTTCGACCCTTCATCCGTGACGCACTGAATCCAGGATCATATCAAACATTGAGGGAAATAAATAAACTGCTTTGGTTTTGATTTTTTAGTAATTTGTGGCACTATAATTATAACTGATTAATTATATCATATACATGATGACCAAGATATCGTTTTAAACTTTTGCTTGAAACATTATAAGGGCTTACTCATTCACAAATATAATTACATACAACCCCAGGGCATAACAGACCCTGGGATTTTAGTGTAAGGTAAGCATTTGGAATATCACCTGAATTGACTTTTAGCGTAAGGTAAGCATTTGTAATATCGTCCAAGAATTTACTTTTAGTGTAAGGTTAGCATTTGAAATATCACCCAAATTGACATTAAGTGTAAGGTTAGCATTTGGAATATCACCTGAATTGACTTTTAGTGTAAGCTTCTCTCCCTCCACTTTACCTTTACCATAAAGATTTAATGGGTTGGGCTCGTCTGTTACTTTGTATGGTGGGTTCTTTCCATCAAACACATAATCTGTACTTATAAATAAAACCCAGGCGTTAATGGCATCTGAAAATATATACTGAAAATATAACAACACATTATTGAGCAATATTAATTTTATGGACACACTCTTTGTGGATGGGATTTTTTCATTTTTTGTTATTGTTGTTGTTGTTATTGTTGTTGTTTTATCAAAAATTTCAATCAAAAATCATTGTAGTTGAATATAACATAAAATTTAGAATCAACATTAACCTACATGTATATTCTCAATGTATATCAACAGTCTATATGATGTAACATATTTTTTACATTTATATTATTATACATGTTCTAAAAACTGAAATGTATGACACACATGTTGCATTATTCAAGAAATACATTCAAATGTAAGTAACAAGTCCCAGCTGAAAACTACGTAAAATCAATGAAAAATCATGCACTACTTAACAATGTTTAGTAAACATAGGTAGAGAAGTCCTCAAAATCAGGGGTAAAAACTCTTTATAACCACTAGACTAAATGTATTACATGAGTTCTTTCCCCTGATCATATTTACAGTTACACCATGGTCAACAATTATTTTCATTTAAATTTATACTGAATCAATCATTTGTAGAAATGAAGAATGCAGGGCAAAAGATCCACCACTAAAACCACTAAGAATTGACAAGATTTTCTTCTTAAATGATTTTTTGAATTATAAACTTTATTCTTTTTGACATTGAAATGGTGCCTTTCCAGCTTCTCTGGTGGAAGAACCTTATGACCAGGCCATCCTTAATAATATATATGTTTGCTATTGCCGACCCAGAGTTATAAGGAGTGGGTCGGTAGGTAGGCTTTTTTTTTTTTTTTTTTTTTTTTTTATATATAATTTTTACTGAACGTAAGTTAATACACTTAGTACGTTGTAACAGATTGTGGAAATTTTGGCTACACTATCATCATCGGCAAAACTAACATGTAAAAGACAGTCAAAAACAATAAAAAACATGTTCACTAGTAATCATAACATGAATTAGTGCTCGCCAATTTTTTTAAGCCAATCACCGACGAGGATTTTTCAAATTTTCAGGTTACAAATCTTAATAGAACAGATTTTATAAACTGGACGTTTTATATTATAAAACGCAAGTGGGCGGAGCACTAAGCCGATTAGAGTGCATATTGGATGTTCTTCGTAAATAAGAAAGCTACAGTCGCTCCGCAAGCTCCGCTCCTTTTTAGCTTTCTTATTTACGAAGAACACCCAATATGCACTCTAACCTATACTTAAAATTACCACATGGTAAACTAGTGACCATATAAATGCTTTACAAATATTCATTAACTGAACAAACATTATTTTTAATCCCGTTTCCACACCTTAATTTGATACGTTCTATTATTAGTTAATTCGACTTAATTGCCGCGCGCATGCAGTACTGCATGACGTAAGGAAAATATCTTTCCCTGGTTGGTCGCTATTTATGTAAATACTTTAAATAGTAACGCACAGAATGCCCTCATGAATGATCACTCGTTACTTTACATATTAAATGTGTGATTTTCCTCCGATTTTATTTTTGTTTTCGAGGGAATTTTTTAGGTGGAATGCCCTGGCTGATTTGGCGGAAATAAAAAAAATCTGATTTTTTTAAGCTGAAAAAAACTTTTGAGTCGGGGCATTTTCGCTGGGTCGGCCGGCAATAGCAAACAGATAATTTTTTAAGAGTGGCCCCATTTCAGTGTCAAAAAGAATAAAGATATAATTCATTTAAGAAAACAATTTAAACAGCAGGGCAATGCCATTACACACCAGGGCAAAGCCATTACACAGTATGGTTAGGTCATTACACAGCAGAGAAAGGCCATTATACAGCAGAACAAGACCATTACACAGAAGGTGGCAGGGCAAGGTCATTATACAGCAGGGCAAAGTCATTATACATATGGACAAGGCCATTACACAGCAGGGCAAGGACATTAGACAGCAGGGCAAGGTTATTACACAGCAGAGAGAGCACTTAAACAGAAGGGCAAGGCCATTACACAGTAGGGCAAGGTCATTACTCAGAAGGGCAAGGACATTTCTTTTTCACACTGAAAGGATGCCTTTCTAGCTTATCTGGTGGAAGAACCTTGTGACCATTTCAGTGTCAAAATGAATAAAGTTTATAATTCAAAAACTCATTTAGGAACAAAATCTTAAACAGCAGGGCAATGCCATTACACACTGGGGCAAGGCAATTACACAGTATGGTTAGGCCATTACACAGCAGGGCAAAACCATAACACAGCAGAACAAGACCATTACACAGAAGGTGGCAGGGTAAGGCTATTACACAGCAGGGCAAGGACATTAGACAGCAAAGCAAGGCAATTACACAGCAGAGAAAGCATTTAAACAGCAGGGCAAGGCCATTACACAGTAGGGCAAGGTCATTACTCAGACGGGCTAGGACATCAGACAGCAGGACCAGGCCATAACACATAAGGGCAAAGACATTAGACAGCAGGGCAAGGTCATTAGACACATGGGCAAGGCCATTACACAGCAGGGCAAGGAAATAAGACAGCAGGGCAAGACCAATACACAGCAGAAAGAGCATTTAAACAGCAGGGCAAGGCCATTACACAGATGGCCAAGGTCATCAGACAGCAGAGCAAGGTCATTACAAAGCAGGGCAAGGACATAACACAGAAGGGCAAGGTCATTAGACAGCAGGGCAAGGTCATTTCAAAGCAGGGCAATGGCATAAGGCAGCAGGACAAGGCTATTACACAACGGAGAGAGCATTAAACAGCAGGACAAGGCCATTACACAGTAGTGCATGGTCATCAGACAGCAGAACAAGGTCATAACACAGCAGGGCAAGACCATTAAACAGCAGGGTAAGGCTATTGCAAAGCAGGACAATGCATAAAACTGCAGGGCAAGGCCATTATTCAGCAAGGCAAGGCCATTACACAAATTCAAGATATTATGGATTAATGCCTTATTTTTTCAACAATGATTTACAAGATAAATGCAAGATCATACCAGCAGCTTCACATAAGAATTGTGTAGCATCCAGATTGATTCTCTTTGTTCCCTCTGGATCTTTCTCTATCACATCAACACTCCTCTCTGCTGCACTGTGAATAATAACATCTGGCTGTAACAATAATAACATGAAATAACAAACTGTAACATCTGGCTGTAAAAACAACTAGAGCTATCACTAAAGGTGATCAATACCAGTGATTCTTTCCCTGTATTTTACAGCCGAATAAAGGCTGTTTCCCCTAGCCAAAAATAAGTATATTTCCCCCTAAAAATGCTACAATTTCCCCCTAAAATGCCCTGTGCACAATCTTTACTAAACAGCAGCTGACACATCAGCTAGAAGACAGAAAGCTGTCCCTATAGAAAGCCTCTGCTATGTAACATGCAAATGTTAAATTGAATTGAAATTCTCAGTTGTTATAATTTGATTTTCCCCTTTTCTGATTTATTGCGATATATTTTTTCCTTCATAAAGCCACAGGTTGTTTTGAAAATTGAAAAAAAAATCACTGAATACCCCCTCCAGCATCTTTGACTTTTTGAAAAATAAGTGGTCTGAAGGAAAATTTGAACTCAACCTATAATAAAATGAAGTATCAACTGTGTTCAAAAAATTACTTCATTTATTTGCAATCCCAACCAGGATCTTTATATAAACTTGCTATAAACCAAGTTTGATTACAATATCTCATTCCTAACTTTAGTTATTGTTTGGAAACCATTTTGCTATTTTTAGAAATGGTGACCTTGTCCCCAGGAGGTCTAGACATTTTTTTTGGCAGAAACATGCCTCGATGTCGCCCTAGCCACTGTTATACCCCCGTAACTAACTCGTTTCATATACTTTAACTATTATAAAAGTTTTACTCTCCCCTGCATGTATATGCATGAATAACTTAGAATTGTATCATAGTTTGGGGACATTTCTGTTGAAAATGTGTCAGAGTCAAATTGTATACATATACATGCACAGTGCCTTAACTGGAGTGCATGTATTAGGTACCTGCACTCCAGAGCATGCCCATTGATTGGTTCATTTTGTCCGGGGTTTACATATTGTGACGACAGAGAAAGGAATAGCGATGGAAATATCTTATTCAGATGCTCGTTCATTGGTTACTTTTTTGTGGGGTTTCATATCGTGGTATCAGGGAACGTGTTTTTATGTTTGACTAAGATACAAAAGAGAAAGAACATCAAAACCCTCTGCAATCTGATTTATACTACGCTACGCCCCCTGACATACACATCAGATAGCCTCGTGTTTCGATGCTCTTTCTATTACTAAACCTTAATGCAGAGTTTAAAATTTTCACTTAAACAAAAAAACTTATGTACACTGTGTCTAAAAATGACAGAAAAGGACAACAATTTTCAAGAAGAGCAAAGAGTATTTTTTAAAGTTTGGGCACTGCTTGGCTTTGCCATGCCTGATTATTAAATCAGATTTAGACCAAGATTATGGGATAGTATCCTATTATATATTATATCCCTCGGTTAGGAAGAGTCTCATTATTTAAATCAGGTGGAATGGATATCAAACATGAGCCCAGATCTGGCCATTCAGCAACAGTAACATCCAAAAGTGATGTTGCTGCAGTAAAAGCAGCTGTTGAGGAGGAAATAAGTGAAGGAGATAAGTGAATAACAGGTGCACAGAAGGAATTAACTCCTTAAATTTTGGTCCTTTAGAGTTTCTACTCTTTTCTCTTACCTTTTGTTCTCTCTGCCCCTTAGGAGAAACATGACCATACAAAAGCTTACTGGATGAATAGCATCACAGCAATTTTTTCTATTCAATTACTATTCCCATAGCCAATTAAAGTACATGTATCTTTAGTTTAAGTCTGTACGAAAGGATGGACAAATGCAATGACTATAATTATGATCTCATTCAGGGAGCACAAAAATCGCAATTTCAGCATATTACAAGAATAAAACATGTGGTAATTCTAAAGATAAAATTAGTTCTGTATCTGTAGGATAATACATTAACAATATACTCCTGGATTTAACGTTTTGGTTGGTAACATGCCACACCTCAATACACAGTACAGAAATTCTGATTAACTTAACCATAAAAAATATACCAATCAAGGTTTTGTACATGAGACTTTTGATGCAGTTTCAAACCTATGATATGATCAAATTACCTTGAATTCATTGACTACATCATTCACAGCTTTCCTGTCAGTTAAATCCACTTTCTTTAGATCTGCTCGAGCCCGAGAGAATGCCAGACCAAGAGCTTCCCAACTAGATGATGCTTTGAACTCCTTTAATATAGCTCTACCAAGCAAACCCGATGCTCCAGTCACTAAGACACGATGAGTGGTCATATTTATCTGTAAACACAGAATAAATCAATTGATTCTTAATAAGAGAATATCTAACCAACTAACCATAAAATGAGAAAAAAAAAGAGAAAAAATGACTACCAGTAAAAGAATCTAACAATGGCTGCTGATATGGATTGGAATATCTGTCTTATGGAAGTAACACCCCCAAGTTTCAGCCTCTGGAGTGAGTTTCATATGAGCTTTAAACTTTCTACTCAATCCTGGTTGTGATTTATGTTACATGTATCTTTTGTCCTAGGTATCAACAGCCATTTAACATTTAAAGACCAGCTAAAACAAGCCTATTCTAAACTGAAAATGAAGTAAAGTTGCTTAGTATCAAAGAGAAATCCATACGAACTGCATTAAACTAGTCTATTCAGTATATTGTAGACAGAAAATACATTTCTACTCATTATCCGAAAACTATGCAAGTTTTGACAGGTCATCAGTATTTACATTATTATTTTGAATGAATTAAACATGATTTACTAATCAATCGTGTAAAATTGAATTTATTCAATGAATTTAACATCGATAATTCAAATGAGATAGCATGACAATATCTAAAATCATAGAAAATCCGTATACAAATCGGTGTAATTTTCAACTTTTCAAGATGTTCTAGATGTCTAAATGTAAAATTCAGCGGTATGCGGCCGCTAATTCCTAATCGGTACAATGCACGTGCGAAATCAATCAAAATCCTCACCCGTCATTGCTCTACCTTTATTGACCATGTTAGCCTATTCGAATCAACTAACTCTTCCCAAACTTCTTTAATTTTTCATTCTATCTAAGCATGTTATTGTACCTTATTTTTTATTCTTTAGATCCTTTAAACTAGTTTCACTATACTCAGCATATAAATTAATTCGCAGCTTAATTCATTCTTTAGATTTTTGTTATAAGATCTGATTTTTTTTTTCATTTCAAAATTGTTGAAAAATAAATTTAATTGTTTCAAATAATATTACACAAATACTGCAATAAAATAACTGATTAATACAAATAAATACAAAATGTAGGAGAAGACATTTAAATAAGCTTTTTGATTAATGCACTTATTCGTTCTAAACAGAAAGTTACATTTTAGTCCCAGATTCTAAATGTATTAATTGTTTGAAATAAACTGTTTAAAACTACAATCAAAATTTCATTTAAGGTCTATACACCAGTAAATTAAATGTAACCACGAGAGACAGTCAAAATTAATGTTAAAATCCCTCCACACTGCGAGTTGAAACATTCCCTGCAAATTTGGCGCCAAATCAAACCTGCGCGCGCATATTTCTCGTGCATTTTTATGTATGTCCAATGGATTTGTACCTTGTACAAGAAAGTTTAAGGTTGGCTTTTTAACATTTGAACTTATAAATTTCTCGACAACTATTCTCCTGCACATCGCCTTATAGAGCTTGGTTCATGTCAATAAAATTCTATATTTTTCTCGAATAGAAATTTACTTTTATTATTACTACTACAAAATAATATAGAAAAAAGAGGGCACAATACAACAATATTGCAAATGTTGCAGGCTCGGTTTGATTCGACTGTTCATGGATAGTAGTGATAAATGAAAGACAAAAGCTACCGCCAAGTTCCCACCCCCGCACCGACTGAAGCATATTCTTATTTCTTTTGGCGAACATCAATCAAATAGGGATACTTGCGATAAACTTGCTATTCTTTTTGGTGAAGTATCTACCGATGAATCTGTTTTGTAATCCTTTAATAATATTTCCCGGATTTTTTTTCAGTGAATATAACTGCTCATCAGAGACATAAATTATATACAAAAATATAGCTCTGTGTGCAAATGGCTCTATTTTAAGCTGTTAGATTTTCTGCTAGAAATTACAAACTATACGTTCTTAAATGTTGACAGGTTTGTGTGATGAGATATTGGTCAGATTCTTACCAGAAATGAATATGATTTAATTTGTGAGTACACTAGGTCATTGAGGGAGGTGTGTTTTGTTGAACATAAGTTACAATAACAGAGCGATGGATTGTGAATCGGGCGACCCCGGTTCGATTCCAAGACGATACGGGGTCTTTTTCGTTGTGATTAATGGTGCAATCCTCTCTATGGTCTTTCGCACTGTATGCATCCTTCCTGGCATTTCAGATGTAATATCAATTGCAGGCACTAGTATTGGTAAACTGCTTGACAGCCTGTCCAAGAACGATACGTTGGCGGATTTTTATTTCTGGTGAATTCAGAGTGGCTTACTTCCGTGGTATACCGGGTAAGCTACCAATTAACTGCACATGTATGAACATGTTTGACAACAGTATCGATCACAACATTCCAAACGGATTTTCTATTTTAATCAGTTCATTTCAGTCTGTTGGCTAACATGCAACAACATGTTAATTTGCCTTTGGCCATTTACACTATTTTTATGTGATGGCAAATAAGGCTCCGTCGTTTACAATTTTTTGTAAACGTTTACACGATTGCTAAGAACCGAAACGATACCGTTTAAACGGTGGTACCTCTATGTACTATACACACCATGTATTTGAGTCGCCAAATGATGTATTTCTTTCTATTTTTCACACATGTACAAATAAAGAATGCGCAGGGCTCATCACGATTGAGTCAGAACACATTTTTTTGCATTGTAACCCATTTTTACCAAAAAATGTATTATGTCACGAGCAATTTTGGACCGAAATGCTGCGTGGAGGGTTGAAAACGCCTATTTTCCGTTTGTTTACTTTGGAATAAACCACTAGAATTGATAAAATCCATGATTACAGGCAATGTTTAAGAAATTTTGTAAGACAATATGGTCATTTCGATTAAACGGTTAACAATATCGTAAACGTTTATGAATGAAAATCGAAACGAATCCGTTTAAACGTGTAATCGTGGGGGCCTTAATGGCAAATACAATAATTACAAATTAAACATATACATAGAAACATATTGTCACGTAAAAGAAATATATAATTAAAGGGGTTATATCTAGTATTATTAGGGCGTCCACCTCCCTTCTATAGCAAGGGCCATTTATAGGCCTCTTCCTCTCTGAAAAAAGATATTTTAAAAGTTATAAAGTGTTCCCCTAAAATTCAAATTACATCTTTCTTTTTTCATCCACTTTTGGCGAGATATACGCGTTTTTTTCCATTTTTTTAAGGAAACGCTCTCTTCCCCAGCCTTTGAAAAGAATCCTGATTATGCAGCATCTTTATTATGAGTAAAAAGTGAAAGTTAGTACATGCATTTAACGCACATTTGAAATTTCTTGAAAATGTAGGTCTACACGTGCATTATAAAATCTGCAGACGAAAATGCCCAAGAAGCCAAATCATTTACGTAGCATTTGAAGAAAGTTTAGCATTTAACGCTCTTGCATGTGTTAAAGAGAAAAATGTCTATGAAACTACACCAGAAATTTAGCTTGCATGTACTTAATTCGAGAGTTTGTGAAAAAGAAGTTTCCTAAAATGCACGATAAGCCACAATTTAACATGCAGATTTCATTTTTTTTCTTGGGAGGATCCCCAGATCCACCATAAGAAGAGTGTTGTGGAGTCAAATAGTAGTTTTATATTTGAAACTGAAGCACTCAGCCAAAAAATCCAGATCTATGTCTTGATATGTTATTTTATACGTACGGCTAGCCACTTTTGTTTTATATCATTACTGTATACGTGTATCCTTTATTCGAATATATTTGAAATTATAATAAGAAAAAATGACGGATTTATGTAATATAAATCCGTGGAAAAAATAACATTAACTTAATTTGATAAATGCAATAACATTTCAATCAGGCTTAACTACTGACTTCATTTTCAAAAAAGAAATGAATAATATATGCAAGAAATGTGTGTGGTTCGAAATAATATTGGTACGAAGCTGTTTTAGAAAAAAAATCGGATTCCTTCGTATTCGTACGAGTGTTGTTTACTGTGTCACCAAAGAAATGGCAACTAGCAAAGACGTGGTAATTTTCTTTAATTTTTGTCTAATTCATTCTTATTTTGAGAAAAATATTTCAATCTATTGGTAAATTATGTTGTATATTATATGTTTGGTCGGTAAGTTAATTTCAACTCTGTTGTTTAAAAGAGAAAGTTAATGCTATTTCCATGCTAAAAATAAAACATATTCAGTCAGTTAGTAGATTATTTAGTCATAGTCATGAGACCAATATAACAGTATGTCAGTATCTTAATGTTTTCTAGGAGTTGTCACATAAATGGCATGTACTCACATATATATTTTGTATTCCACATTTGTGTATATGTTAATATATTTTCTATACCCAAATCAAACTTTCAAAGATATGTCTGATAAAAATAATCTATTTTTAATATTCTACCTCAATGGTTGTGCTACGTTTTAATACTATCAACAACGAGATGATTGACAGAAGAATCGCTGCATACCTGACACAGGTTGCAATAAAATACAAAGTAAAAAGAACATTTGAAGACAAAGAAAATAACAAAACTGTTGAATAAATTTGGGCCGCTCATTTGTTATTTATAAACCTGAAGTTTCGTTTTCAATAATGAAAAATATCTTTCCAATCCATTAGCATAAGCATAAGTTCAATGCTCATGCCGATAATAATGATTAATGAATGAGGTAATTTATTTAAACATGTGATTTGTTCCATGTATGGATATATGTGCCTATTGTCAATGTAAGTCTATGCTATGATTTTAATTTATTTAAGTAATTGGACAATTTTAATCGTGTATTTACACAAATATGCAGCTTGTCTGGTGCTCTGTGTAATATATAAAACTTAAATATAAACAATAAGGCCTGTCTCACCTCCTCGGTAAGTGCATGCAATGATTTTCCTGCTTTTATGACAGACTCTGACTCCGATTAAAGGCCTCTTCCAAATTGAAATTTTCTTTTAAAATAAAATCAATGTTTCATGCAGTTTTCCCAAAAATCTTAACTTAAATCTACTTTTTTACACTAAACTAAAACAACTAAAAATTATCATAATCTGTCATCTGTACTCAATTTAATTCATTTGATGTATTAACCCTTTCCTTCATGAGCATATTGTGAAAATTGGCCTTTTTTGCCTCCTGTCACAAGTTCAAACTGCTATGAAACTGTGAAAAATGCTTCAATACTCACGAAACTTGGAATAAAAGTTGACTGGACCATAGCCTCTGTAACAGCAGGCGCAATCGTAAATTTCTTGTAACTATGGTCCAGGGGGAGGGGGGGCGTCTCAAAATTGCAAAAAATCACTATTTTGCATTGTTTTTTTCCCATCAAAAGCTGCAATGGATTGAGATAGAGTAAAAGACTTTTTCTGCGTTGGTAATTAGTTACCCTAAGATCAACCTGAGGCCATTTTTAGCCTGTCACAAGTCCAAAATTTTCTTGGCGATGACGGGGACTGCTGCCCCCTTCAAACCCCCCAAACACAAGGGGGCTTATTCCCCTTCTAGCAACCCCTTGATGGACCATTTTGATGGGGGCAGCACTGTAAAAGTGATCACTTATTTTAACAACATTTCTTGAACAAGAAACAGTGTTTGGGCCTGAAATTTTTTCACTGTCTGAGGCCTCAAAAAGGGGGGGGGGTGGGACAAAAAGCCGTCAAAACACGTCTATATGAGGGAAAGGGTTAATGGATTTAAAACCTGTCTTTTTCAAAAAGGACACGGGACACTGTTTACCACTTACAAATTACATTTTTTTCCAGTCTTTGCATTTTATTTCATTCAGTTGAAACTTGAGTAGGAAAGACAGACGAAGTTTATATAAAATAACTGTAAGGCAATATCTTATTAGCAACAGTTTGACAATAATTATTGTAAAAGGTCACACTGCCAGGTTGTTATATTAATACTAATACACCTCCATGTCCTTTGACATACATCTTCAGACATCAAGAAAACATTACTCAATGGGTTAATTGGAATGCTGGCTATGATATGTAATGCTTAAATTAGGTTAATAATAGACTCTCTCATGGATTGTTTGTTTTTAATTTTGGGTTAGTGTCTGGGTCCAGTCTAATTGGCAAATAATGCACAGTGTGGTGCCAAAATTGAGAATTTGAAAGAAGAAAAAATACAGTTATAAATTGGGAAGGGTTTTTTAACCAAACCCAAAATAAAGAAGGGAAAAATTTTGCCTATATTGTAAAATTTTCAAGTTGAATGTGAAATGACTTAATACTTCGAGTTCATCAAGTTGAAACAAGGAAGGGGTCATCCTGGATAAAACTGCCATTTTGAATCAACTTTGCATAAAACATAAATCAATTTTCATAGCTACATGTATATTGCAGAAGAAAAGATGAGATCAGAAATTCTACTTTCAGTTTGACAATGATTTCAATCTGTGACCTGGTTGTGAAACTGAAAGTCACATTCTTTCTGGAATTCCAGTAAGCAGAAAAATCTCTGAACATGTCATACATATACAAATTGTAACTTCATGTCTATTTTTATTGGCTGAAAGAATAGCCAGTAGTATAGGACCAAAAATACATACATGTAAATATGTTAATTATAATTATGCTAATAAACTATATGTTATGTTAAAAACAATAGCTGATTTGTATATTTTTATCAGATTTAGGTATTTTATCATCTAGATTGAATTTTTTTGTCTTTTCTTTTTAAATCTTGAGTAAGAAATGAGATATGAATATGTATTTAAATGGAAGATGAAATATAATTACAAATGTTTGTTAGAGAAAAATAAACATGTATCAGGAAGCTCTGAATTAGTTTAAAAATTACAAAGTTTTTGTCATATTCTAAAAAATGAAACTAAGCAAAAAATGTCATAGTCTAAAAATGAAACTAAGCAAAGCATTGATAAATGAAATTGTCACGTAGTGGATAGGAAAACAAGAAATTGAAACAAGAGCTTGCTTTAATCTTTTATTTCACTATAGTATAGTAATATCTATAATATAGAAATAACATATAAATTTATCATTAATGAAATATGTTCAACACAGATACCAATCTGTAACTGGCTAACTGCCAAGGGCTTATAATTATTGTGCTACTTGTGATAAATTACTACTTTACATGTTTTAATAATACTGCAAGTAGAGATCTGGAATATGAAATATATAGATATAACATCCTCTGCAGGCCTTTTTTCAAACAATTTCAGAATGGCACCAAGGCATCAACACCATAGGAGTTTGGGAATTTTTTTGAATCGTCATAACAAGGCCAAACTAAGAACTTTTCAAGTTACAAACAGAAACTGTTAAACGTTTAATGGATAAAAAAATAGCTTCTATTTATAGCGCTTATGTTCATATTTTGTATATGTGATTTCAAAGGATTCTCTTTTGAACAAAAATACTTTTTTCAAAGAAAACTCAACAACTCAGTGAACTATGATTTTCAATTGGAGAAAAAAACATGTTTTGGCATTGGGATTGCTTCTTTTTATCAGTAATAACTATGAAAGGGAAAAAAGGATTATCCTTTATAATCATGGCAGGGATTTAAACTGTCGGCTATTAAATCAGCATTGGGATTTTTCATTTCCACCCCTTTTTGGAACACAGTTCTGGGTCCCTCAATTTGGAAATTTTTGTGTTGTTGAATGAGGCAAGTTGGGAGAAATTGAAGAAAAAAAAACAGCCAATTTTGATTGATTTTTATCAGCCATACTAAAATGTTCTGTTATGTTAGTGTTTATACTTTTAAAGTGTAGTAATTGTATTAATACACTCAATTTACAATTTCACAATGTTATAAACACATAATCATCAAGTGTACATTGTACATAATAAATATATAAAACAGTAACAGATCAAAAGTTTTAACCCCATGATTGTAGGCCCTCCCCTGTATAGTTATATGTGGAAAAGAAAGTTAAATTGTTGATTATGAATTGTGCGACACTATTTACATCCTGTTTTTTGAACCAGGAAATGTACAAGTTTTCATATTGTAAGATCTTATCAGAATGAGGTAATGCAGTAATGACATGTTTGTATTTTTTGGAGAAAAAAAAAACTGAAAATGAAGAAACTGTCAGTGAATTTGAAAATAGCCATCGAATAAGCTCAGAATGGACACAGGCATATTTGATTTACAAGTTTTAAATTTCTGGAAAAGGGGTGATGGCTTAAATGTTACAACAACTTAAATAGTGTCCAGCTTTATTTGTCATCCAATGAAAATGCTGTATTTCTTAAAAATTTTGTATGTTAATTTTCATAGAAGAACAAAAGTCGATACTATATCCGATCGGATTCCGTTCATAGTCGTCTTCTTTTTTTCATAGTGCTTCATAGAACCACGTAGTGACATAATTAAGTGAATAATAATGAGGCCAAATAAAGCTTGACACTAAGTATGTTAGTATTCATCTGTAGCTGTTTTACAGAAATTTAAAACATTCTCCTGTCGCTATCACTCCCATGAAGTTTCTAATTTCTATAGAACAGCAGGGATGAACACTAACTTATACAAAGAGATGGAAATCAAAGAATGTGACAGAGTTACGAAAAGTCTTGTACACTATTTTAAAGTCATAGGTAGGAAATACCAATATTGATACAATGTGAAAGGACCTTGAAAAAACAGTTATTTAAATTTACCATATTTCACATTTATCAAATACCCAAGCCACATTTCTTGTTTACACTTAAATACATTGAAAGATATAACATGGTTTACGTGTTTAAGTGTCAAATACACTTTACTCTATGTACTTGTAGATCTATTTAGTTTATATTGTAAATCGTAGTATAAAAAGTTTGGTTAGGTTTAGAGATTAAAGTATAGTGAAATAGTAAAGTTTAACATTAACTTTGTTTCTTTATATCAAGATATGACATTTTGTTCATATTTTGTTACTCAAAATGATAACAATACATATCTGAATATGGTGTAACTATTTTTCCACTAGCATCATACCATATTTGATCAGATCAGAAAAAATGCATTGTTGAGTACAATCAAAATACAACACTTGGCATATTTTGTCATAAAAAAACTAAGGTAATATTTAGAATCAATTTAAACTTTTCCGCCCCTTAGTCAAATACTTACCCGGTTACCGGTAATTGAATTTTAGCAAAAAACTGACCATACCCATTTTAACGTATAAACGTCACACCCCTATAATTTTGTAAGCTCTGTAGTTTATAATTTTAACCACCAGAAAACCAGTACTGTGTAGGCAATTTTCACTATTTTGAGAACTAACATGGGATTGTCCATATACTAGCCTGAAGGTAAACTGGCAAAAGACTCTTGCCTGGCATTAAAAATTAAGTCTTTTATTGCCAGCTGATTGTTTCTAATGACTTGAAACATTTGTCTTAACAAGAATTTACTTCCATGCACAGCGATATTTTCTAATGCCTATCTGTAAAGGTCGGTTTGATTGCATGGCTTAAAATAGCTTTCTCGGGAAATTGGAATCACAATGAAGGCAAAACATATACCGTGGCAATCAGATCTGCATGTAAGAAATAAGTAGATCTGAACTTTAGTTAGATTGTGCTGCTTTATAGAAAAAGTTATTCCAATTCTTTTGTATATTTACAGGAAGCAGGCTATACGCTTGGGGCGGAGTCACCACCCCCAGCATACGATCAATATGTGGGCGAAAATACAGGGGCTACCACACATGTGCCACCAAACTACTCGTCTACTACTCCTTCAAACGATATGGGTAATAGTAAATTATTAGTACATTATGGGGTTTGGTCTATTGTTCTCATAACAATAGATGTCTTTGATGTCATTCATTCCGTTTCTCTTGTGGGGTTATTTTCTGCATTGTGGGGTTAAAAAGAACAAAAGAAATAACAAAAGAAAACCCCATAATGTAGCTCTGGTAAGAACATCCGTCCCTCCTTCGGTTTTTCCTTGTCCGCCCAATAACTTGAGATTCCTTTGGCCCACAGTCTTCATATTTGGCATGGAGGTTAGTCATGATTAGTAGATGACCCCTATTGATTTTGGGGTCACTGGGCCAAAGTTCAAGGTCACAGGGGCCTTGACTTTAAAAAGCTTGTCCGCCCAATAACTTGAGATTCCTTTGGCCCACAGTCTTCATGTTTGGCATGGAGGTTATTAGTCATGATTAGTAGATGACCCCTATTGATTTTAGGGTCACTGGGCAAAAGGTCAAGGTCACAGGGGCCTTGACTTTATAAAGCTTGTCCGCCCAATAACTTGAGATTCCTTTGGCCTACAGTCTTCATATTTGGCATGGAGGTTAGTCATGATTAGTAGATGACCCCTATTGATTTTGAGGTCACTGGGTCAAAGGTCAAGGTCACAGGGGCCTTGACTAAAAAAACCTTGTCCGCCCAATAACTTGAGATTCCTTTGATCCACAGTTTTCATATTTGGCATGGAGGTTAGTCATGATTAGTAGATGACCCCTATTGTTTTTGGGGTCAAATACCCAAGCACAACGAAGTTGTAAGGGGGGTATACTGGAATCAGCTTGTCCAGCCGTCCAGACGGCCAGATATTTAAATGGACTGGTCTACAATGTACACATTTTCCATGCATTTTTCAAATATTGATAAAAACATTAGAAATGTATCGTTTGGATAATTTTGTAAAGAATTGCTTAAAAAATGCTGATAAAGTCCTAAATGATTTAGAATGAGCATTTATGTGTTGAATTGTTAATAAGATTTGGTTTATTATCTGCTATATGAATATATATGTAAATATTATATCGGATCATGTATCTCACACTTGCAACAACATCCATATATAATATCCTTTCATGGTTTGTAGTTATGACTGTTACTTAATACTTTCAACGTAATTATTCATTGAATTACTGGCCTTCCATAAAGACCAATTAACTTGAAAGTGCTAAGGATTATAAATATAATCATTAAAGTACATGTAGCACCAAAGCATATAAGAAAAATTTTAATTATGTATATGTACAATGTATGTCTATAATTGTGCATTGTTAAAGGCCCATTATGCCTCAGAAATGCTTTTAGTTATATTTCTCAAAAACTTTTTAACTTTGGTATACTTTATAGTATCAAAAAAGTTACAAATTGCCCAATTCCCTGAACCATCTTTCATTCTGTCGCCTTTGGCAAAAGGTATATATATAGTGAATAAGTATTTTGTATGGAAGTCAAAATACTGCATGTATTTCGTGTACATATTACTTGGTTTACATTTAGCTACATTTATGACAATTATTTCACATTGACTGGTAACAAGCATCCAAAAGCATTCTCTGAAACCATTTTTTTAAAACTTTTATAAAACTCATGTTTGTAAAGAAGTAAAAATTTATTTATTCCTGAGGTATAATGTGCCTTTAATTGTTTGACTTCATGCAGGATTTACAGAGATTTTTTTTCCTGTATTTTTGAAAAAAAATACTGATTTATTTTTGTTAATTTCAGCACCACCACCATCCTATGACTCTCTGTATGGTAAGATGAAGGCCGCCAAACAAGAATCCGAAGGAAATGTGGATTTCTGCAAGAAATTTATGGTCATCCTATGTGGAACAAGTAAGTATAGACAGTTTTTCTGCAGATATATTCATACATCATACATGTGAATTTTTTTGGATGATCAGGTGAGAGATTTTTTTCAAAAAGAGGGAGATTTTAGAATTTGCAAAGAAAAAAGTTCTGACATCAAAAAGAGGGAGATTTCTTTCATTTGTGAAAATACCCCTTATTTTAAGAAAAATCTTTGAAAATATGGCTGCAGAAAGTGGAAGTTCCTCACATGTATGCATATTTTGTAAAAAAAATTTAATGCAAAGTTAACAGTGGTCCCTCAGGCAGTGCGGTAAAGGTCGCTGTATTTGAGTCATTTTACCCACACTGCTTGTAGGTTTTAATCCCACTGTAGTCTTTAAATTGTTTCATAAGAGGAAAATATCCAGTAGGGCTGTCGTTGAATATCGCAATATCGATATATAATCGATATCCATCATCCAATATATTATTGATACACAGTTTCAAATATTGATACAAGCTAAAACAATTTTATTTCTGTTAGTGAAAATACACCTTTAAGTTTGCCCTAAAAATTGATATATATTTATCATAAATATGCCTTTGACTAAGTCAGTATTATTTATATATGGTATTATGACACTTGTTTGATTGAAAAAACTGATTTGGTTGAATTTGTACTGAATGATACATAAAAATACATTGTGTATCTAAAACTGAAAAATCTTCATTGTCCATACTAAAAGCCATTGTTTTGATATCATATTAAAAGCAATATCAAATTCTGTTTCACAGTTTTTCAAAAAGATTACATTCTATAATTATGCATAATGCATGTACAAATGTACTTTCAAAACATTATAAAGTTACAAAGTGAACATTGTGCCAATAAATCAATACGGCATGTACTCAATATTAAGGTTTCTCTCCCTATTTTTCAGTTGGATGTACGATAATGTTGGCAGTCATAATGGCTATTCCAGTAGCCATGATTGTAATGGGTAAGTTCATGGCAAATATTGGGGCCGGTATCAACATATTTAATGATAATTTTTATGCCCCCACAATGTGGGTGCATATAGCGTTGCACTTGTCCGTCCGTCAGTCCGTCCGTCCGTCCGTACGTCCCGAAATCTTGTGAACGCAACTCCTCTTAAACCGGATGGCAGATTTTGCTTAAACTTACAGGGATGAACAACCTTAATATGTAGATGGTAGTAAAGGAAGGAATTTTTGCTGTGACCAAATTTAACAGAATTATGGCCCTTTGTTGATTTTTTTACTAGATACTATATAGAAATTTTGTGAACGCAACTCCTCTTAAACCGGATGACAGATTTTGCTTAAACTTACAGGGATGAACAACCTTAATGTGTAGATGGTAGTAAAGGAAGGAATTTTCGCTGCGACCAAATTTAAGAGAATTATGGCCCTTTGTTGATTTTTTCACTATATACTATGTAGAAATTTTGTGACCGCAACTCCTCTTAAACCGGATGGCAGATTTTGCTTAAACTTACAGAAATGAACAACCTTAAGGTGTAGATGGTAGTAAAGGAAGGAATTTTTGCTGCAACTAAATTTTACAGAATTATGGCCCTTTGTTGATTTTTTCACTATATACTATGTAGAAATTTTGTGAACGCAACTCCTCTTAAACCGGATGGCAGATTTTGCTTAAACTTACAGGGATGAACAATCTTAAGGTGTAGAAGGTAGTAAAGGAAGGAATTTTCGCTGCGACCAAATTTTACAGAATTATGGCCCTTTGTTGATTTTTTCACTATACACTATGTAGAAATTTTGTGAATGCAACTCCTCTTAAACTGGATGGCAGATTTTGCTTAAACTTCCAGGGATGAACAACCTTAATGTTTAGATGGTAGTTAAGGAAGGAATTTTTGCTGCAACCAAATTTAACAGAATTATGGCCCTTTGTTGATTTTTTCATTATATACTACGTAGAAATTTTGTGAACGCAACTCCTCTTAAACGGATGGCAGATTTTGCTTAAACTTCCAGGGATTAACAACCTTAATGTGTAGATGGTTTTAAAGTAAGGAATTTTTGCTGCGACCAAATTTAACAGAATTATGGCCCTTTGTTGATTTTTAGTTTTCAACTTGTGGCACATGTAGTCCAAAAAATATTTGACCTAGAGTCATAAGATTGACAGAACAGTGGCGTGTGGGGGCATCCGTGTCCTATGGACACATTTCTAGTTGACTATTATTTTGAAGAAAATGCAGACCTATGTCTCTCACCCAGGTGTCAACATCACACTTTGGTTAAGTTTTTGTGTGAAAGTTGGTACATTGTATATCAAAAACAAATCTCCCTTTTTGAACTTGAGCAGGTTTGGCTTGTTTTGTGACATTTACAGTGATGACATGATGTAAGATCCACCAAAAATGTTAATTATATAAATACAAATGTACGTGTATTCATAAAAAATTTAAAAAAAAAGAAGCAAAATCACTAAAGAAGCCCAAAGCAGCAAAAATTAAAAAAGAACTATGTAAGTAAGTAAGTAAGTAAGCAACAACTTTATTTAATGAGGCAAACACATTCGGTTTCCCGATCTTCCATTCTCTAAATATCCGATATTTTAACTCAGATTTATTGAAAGACGTGATATTTTGATAACTTAAACTTATCTTAAACCACCAGATTGGTGATCAGGTCAAGATTAATTTAGCTTTGTTTTTGTTTTATAGGAGCCATACATAAAGATGACTGTCCTGCGGAACGTATGATCCCCATTTACCTGATAGTTGGCGGCTCATTTGGTATCGTGAAGAATCTGTCTAGTCTGTTACAGCGATGTAAGAACAAGGACGAGGAAGATGGCGACGAGAAGAATGCTAAAACAAATCCTTTCGATGCTACACTTAATTGTTTCCTTTTTGCTTGGTTCATTGCAGGTAAGGTTTGGTTGGCTTATTTTTAACGATATTTGTATTTTGTTAAGTGGTATAACTTGAGATGATTGATTTAGTTTACACTCCTACAAGCCCATATGGCAAGTGTGAATTAAACTTTACAAAGTCAATAAAAGGAGGCATAGCATGCTCATGAAATTTTCCTTTAGCAACATACCTCCTGTAAAATTTGTAAACTAAATCTAAACAGAACCAAAGGAATTATTTGCCATTTCTTTTCATTTGATAATGAAATTATTGCGACTGTCATTGCAGTCACGTATTATGACATGGAACCCTGAGTCATGCTTATAAAATAAAATACAACAAAGGCTGATGCTTGAGAGGTTTTATATGTAAATACATGTTTCCTTCTCTGTTAATATAAAACTGCATGTTCAGTTTTTGTATTTTTTTTCAAGAACTTCTGTTAAAAATATACTATGCTCAAAAAATATTGATAATTGCTACACAGTCTCTTTGTAGATATAAAATAAACATGTTTTGACTTCACACAAAGTAGAAATGTTATGTTTTAAATTCAACACACTATCAATGGTCACAAGATGTATATACAGTGTCATTAAAAAAACTGGCAGTTTTTTTAAGAAAAGACCAACATTAAATGGTCTGTAATTGTGAACGCAGCTTCCCATACATACTTATTCAAATAAGACAGTCATACGCAATACGAATTTCGTAGAATTTAATAAACTTCTGTGATTTAAATATTTTTCTCAAAGATGAGCTAAGTATATCTTTAAACATCAAAAGCTGCTGTCATGACATACTTTTTATCCAAATTTGATCTTATATATATATATATATATATATATATATATATATATATATATATATATATGATACAATTTGTTATGTCTTGTATATTTCAGGCAATGTTTGGGTATACAGGACAAAGGACGAGTGGTCAAGTAATTCCAATGCAGATAATTACTGTGATCCTACACTGTACTGGTTCGCGTTTTGGCTCATAACCGCGACCTATATTCTGATGGGCTGCGTTTGTTGCTGCGTCTGCGTTGGCGGAATGTTTGCCGCCTGTTTTGGAGCTCTCGAATCTAAATAAATCATGTAGTACCAAATACATAAATAACAGTTAATCGACATCATACGTCAAGTGTGTGTCCTGAAAAATGATTTCTTGTTCCTGGCTTTCTGGTCAATAGTGGATTTTGTCGGAGAGAATTTTTTTTTCATTTTCAAATTAACAATTAAGACAATTAATATTTTTTTTTTTTTTAAATTAAGCAATATGGGATATGGTTTAACAGACTAAAAAACAGGAACATGCATTGTCTTTAGGGTCTGATAAATGGGTTATAGTTGTCATAATATATTTCTATATCTGTTACTTATTGTCATATAATATGGTTATTTGAATGTTACATTGGGCGTACTTTTTTATTTTATTTTTTTGTGTATGTGAATTTTGTTATATTGTTGTTGTTTTTTTTCTATTTTGACAATGGACTCCATTTTAATGATATATTTTCTTTTGTTTTCATTACATATATTCAGTTTTACAACATTAATTAATTAAGGAGATTTTAATTGGTTGAAATATTAATAATTGTAGACAATCAAGGGGCTCTAATATAGTTAAGCTGCATTAAATCAGAAGGGACAATCTTTAGATATTTAAGAGTGCTGATATATATACAAATGTATATACATTTTCACCTTTTGAAGTAAAAGTTGGTACTGATAATAAAATTAGGCTAGGACAAAATTTATAGCAATAGATTTTTTTTTTAAATCTTATATGGAAATAAATGTGAATAAATATACATACCTATGCATAACTTTGATCTTGGGCAAATGAATATGATGGTGATTTTATGAGAGTGATTGCTATTTATATCCACAATTTATGCATAATTAAAACATAGCCTGTTTGTAACATTGATTTTTATTGGATAATAGTAATGTTAGAATTATCAATAGACACTGCTATTGCAAATTAATGAATTGATTTTTCCCCTAAACGTAGGCATTGTGCTAATTTATAAATTTCTTATTAAGATTTTTTGGCAGGTTATATGGATTAAAGATTTTTTTGGCAGGTTATATGAATGAATAATATTTTTGGCAGGTTATATGGCTTTGCATAAACGGTTGTTTGCCATTTAACCCTTGAATTAGGTATTATAACCACTTACAACTGATAGATTGGGTATACTCGTATCTTAACAACCCTTTATATATTTGTCTTTAGTTTTGATTTTTGAAAATTTGTCTTTAGTTTTGATTTTTGAAAATTTGTCTTTAGTTTTGATTTTTGAAAATTTGTCTTTTGTTTTGATTTTTGAAAATTTGTATTTTTTTATATTTGAAGATTTGACTTTAGTTTTGACTTTTGAAGATTTGTCTGTATTTTTGATTTTTGAAAATTTGTCTTTAGTTTTGATTTTTGAAAATTTGATCGCTAATCTGGAGTTGTGTTGCTTTAATAAACAATAAGTGTTGTTTTGTAGAAAATTTATTTGAGGAAAACATTGTCAGCATATTGTCAGTTAAAAGTTGAGTACTAATATAAAATGTTGTCTTGTGTAGTAATCTTTTGAATTAATGGCAGATCATACATGTATGAAGATGTTTTGTGTAGTTTTGAACTTTTGTTATTGATTGTTTAAATAATGGATAAAATTGTTTATATATAACATTTAAGAGGTGCCTTTTCATTAAATTGCTTATATTTCAAGAAAGTTCTATCCTTCAATTTTTTGTATTCATTGATTGTTGTTAGTTCTGTAGAACTTGTTAGTCCAAAAAAACAACTAAAAAAATCCCCCCAAAAAGTGGAAAATTTATGATTTTGTCCTGGTGCCATTTTTGGCTACTTAAAAAAGTGTAGTTCTTGTATTTGTTAATTCATTTTAAGATATTTCATAGAAAATACTGATAGACCTGATATTGAGCATGGTTTTATTCTCAGAATTTGAAAATTGCTATAAAAAATAACATAAACAACTGCAACGAGAATGAATTGATATCTCATCACCACCATAGTGCAATAATTGGTTAAGTTCTTTTAAATTTAATAGGAGTTAACCAGTTATTGCACTAAGGTGACAATCTGTTCTTCAAACTACATTACCTCTGTGTTTTTTTGTTTGTTTTGTGTTGTTTTTGTTTTTTTTTAATCAAAACGGTTAAAATTAAAATTAAGCAAAAATTTACAACTTTTGTGACCTTTCTTGTTCTGATTAAACTTTACCACACTTAATATCTAAAATGGACTTGTCCATCTTTCAGTCTGGGCAAAACCATTCATCATTTTTAGGGGAAAATTTTTAAATGAGTGCTTACTGAGTAGTGAACAGTGCAGACAATGAACAGACAGCATGGATGTGCCATGTGATCTTGGTCTGCACTGGTCACATTGGTAGAATCTGTTGCAGATGGCAGGCTGTAGGTTAATTTAATAGCAAAATAATTATACCTTAAAATAATTTAATATCATATAACAATTGCAACAACTGTATTACATTCAGAAAAGAAATTTAAACTGACCTTTAGTGTTTTTATCCAAAAATAGAGATGACTTCTCAAATTGTTACAATTTTGATACATTCCACAGTTTTCTAAAATCCAGTATTTTTTTCTTCTTCTTTTTTTACATTTTTTAATTTACTTTTTTTTTATTGAAGGTTATTTCATTATTATTTTTGTCTTTGTCTGTTATTATTTATATTACATTAACATCCAGAAATTATTTATATTTAAATAAAATAAGGATTTAGTAAAGATTTTTTTGTGTGTGAAAAGAAGAAATGAAGATTTTTTTGCCCTCTTTGGCGCCATACATATTTTTGTTAAATATTAAACTGAAGATTGCTCTTTATAAAGTATGATGTGTGTTTTTGGCTCAATTTCACAATTAGATAAACTTAAGATCAGTCTGTCTTTATGTATATTTAACCCTTGACCTTCTGGAACTGAAAAAAGACCCGCCTACACCAGCAGTATAGAGCCAGGCCAGCCTGTACATTCGCGCAATCTTACCAGGCTTTATACCTTTGGTAGCTAACTAAATTTGGAATATTTGATATTTAAATCCCTAAAACTTGGAATGGAATGTTACAAAAATTCATAGCTGGGCTAATCCAATAATTCACCAGGTTTGGGGTTAGAGGGAAATCACTGTGTGATAAAACATCTGTAAATGGCACCATGAATACAACTTTTGATAAATTGTGTGTGTAGTTGTTTTGTTTTGTTTTTTGGTTTTTTTTCGTCTTTTAATTTATTGTTAAAGCACTTACTTCTTCACATCCCTTTACTTGACTAATGGACTTGTCCTACTGTTATTTTGGAATGGCCCATTATTAAGTTAAGGGGTTTGAAGACCAAGAGGTTAAAGTAAAAAGCCTGGTCAGAATACTCCGAGTTGAAAGTTTTCCTGACATTGTTGTACTTTTGATTTATGAAAGTCTGTGATGGATTCCTGTCATAATACAAACAAATTTTCTTTTTTTTTCAATTTTAGACGTAATGTTCCTTTTTCAAATAAGTTCTATAAAACACTCCAAACTGATTTCATTCATTTTCTAGACTAGCATATTTGATATACATATGATATTGATAATCAATTTCTTTTTTTAAAAGTAAAACAAATTTTAGTAATACCTTATGTATAGGTCAAACTTAAATATTATTGTTGGGGAAATATGTTCATGTTACTAAATTTAGCTTTCACTATAATCTGCGTACCAATTTATTAGACAGATTTTTCATTTGTTAAATTTGAATATTTATATTTTTTACATATGTTACTGTTTCTATTGGGTTTTTTTTCTTCTTTTTCTTTCTAACAAGCAATATATTATATATCTATCCATGCAGGATGTTATTATATATACTGTATATTTGATTATTTGGTGTGGCTTTAATAATGGCAAGTATTTTGCAAACTGTTAATTTTTCAAAGTTGTTAAAATTTTCTTATGTAAATATCAGTATCTGCCTGTTTGTTTTTGTTGAACAGTATATGCAGCTGGCAAGTAATATATATATACATACACACATCTATATAAAGTATACTTTATGTATTTGACTGTACATATTTTTTTTGTTAATGTACACCATTCTTTTTGCATGGTCAAAGGGCTTGCTTGCTTCAGACTTGTATATCAAAACTATTATCAGGAGTGTAAACTATTTTTTGAAATGTAGAAAAATTTTCCCATGGCTCCACTTTTTACTGTTTTAATGCCTTTAATTTGATCTCTTCCTCTGAACAAATTTCATAATGGAAATCAAAATGAGTAGAAAACAGCAGTGAATTTAATTGGAATTTTTGGCACTCAACACTTAATTTGAAGGATTTGAAGTTGAAGAGGATTTAACAGAGCAAAAGTATCTTAATTGAGCTAAAGTGTTGTAAATGACCCAAAGAAATGTAACGAAATAAGATATAGTTTATAATGAAATTGCAAACCCTTAAATTTTACATGTCTAATTGATTTTTGAGTCTTGAGATTTGTCATGTACCATGACCCTCTAGATCAGAACTAATTCTCCAGCCATAATACTGTTAGGCTTTTAAAACATAAATTTGTTGTTGTAGGAATTAAATTAGGTATGCATGAAAATATAGGTAAAGGGTATAAAGCTATATATAATAATTGTTTTAATAATATAATGTATAGGTGGTAAAATATCTGTTGCTTACAATACCTTATGGTCAAATATCAAAAGATTTGTAGCATAGAATGTCCATATTACTTAACATGCATGAATATTATATTTACACAGAAAAAAAACATGAAATACTATGCTGCTATTTTATGTTGAGTTTTGATGATGAAGCAATGATTTTGTGCATGGGACATTCACACATAGGGAAATGTATAAACATATTACTTTGGTACAGGCATTTTGGAGGTTTTTGTATTATCTTTTTTTTTTAATTCAAACAATAGTTTTGTAAACTACAAGTCAAAGATATAGCTTTATACACTTCAAAATAATTTGATTTTATTCAAGAATGTTAGCATATTGTATAATAAACACAGAAAATTGCTCTGTAGTCTGGAATATAACATGCAAACACTTCTTTTTCTATATTGTTGTAATCATCTTTTGTTATTTTTCTCCGAGTAACTTCTTATTTTTTTGTCAGTATGGATTTCCAGTATGATATTGTTTAGTGATTCATAGGCTTTTTTCCGCCCCTTATGGCACTTTTCAAGATTTTTTATTATTCACTCAATACAAAATACAGGTATATCTAACATTATACTTATCTTTTACATACTATAATTTCTTTTCATGTAAAGTGAGATAATAAGTGTTAAAATGGCAATTTGATTAAAGGGATAGGATAAATATTGATTACACAAAACAAAAAATAGTGCCATTGATCAAATACCAAGTGCATAAGTTTTTTGCAATCTTTTCGGTCCTTTCTATCAAACTTCGGATAAGGGCTCAAACAACCTTTTTTTCTGATTCTTTCTTTCTTTCTTTTTTCTTTCTTTCTTTCCTTCTTTTGACACATGTAGTTTTGACTTATATAGGCTAGTGGTAGTGAAATTTACCTTGTTAATTTGATCATGAAGATTTAATTCTATGTCTTAACTTTCTGTTGTTTATAAATCATTCTAAATCCATATCTTTATTAACTGATCTATTTATGAATTAAACACTTTTTGTATGAACAGTTTGTTACTTGATTGTATTTCATAAAACTTAAACTGCTGAATTTCTTCAGCTTTAATTTTTAGCTCACCTGAACACAGAGTTCTCAGAGATGGCAGTTTGTCCATTGTTCATCGTCAGTTGTTATCCACAATTTCAATTTCATTTACAATGCCAAGAGCTTTGAAATATATATTTGACATGTAGCATTGCCTAGTGAACCACTACAAAAGCTACTCAAGTCATGCCCTTGAGGTCAAAAATAGTGACACATCAGGGGGTCACTTAGTTATCATAGACTTTTAAAAGTAAAAACTAACTTAACAATCTACTGTGGAAGAATAGTTAATGCCAAGAGTTTAAATATTGTGCATTGAGCATCACCTAATGGTCCTCTATAAGTTATATAAATCATGCCCCTTGTGTCAAAATTGGTTAATGCCCAAACAATCGCTTAGTTTATATTTAGAGTGACCTACATAGTAAAACATATTTAATTAGGTCTTCTTGTGTGGAATTACAATGACAAGAGCTTAGATATCTGTCATGAATCATATAGAAGCAGACTTCTACAAATATTTTAAAAATTATGATGCTTTGGGTAAATAAGACAAACCCAATGGTACCTTAACACAGAAATTGTAATATTTTTCTAACAATGTACATGTATCTCAGGTGAGTGACCCAAGGTCATCATGACCCTCTTGTTTGGGATATATGAAGGAAATATTGTAAATTTAGTCAGTTCACAGCAAAGAAATTGGCCAAACTGCACAGAAGTTCAGACTGACCTGAGTCTATAGACTAACCTGGTCACTTGGTTCCAACATTCTTGATTTTTACCAAACGGGCATACGGAATGTCGGTGGTTCTACTCAGGTGCCCTTTGGTGCCTAAAATAATGATAAACGGGCACCTGAGTTCTTCCTCCACCAATAAAGCTGGTACATCACCATATGACCTATATTGTGTTGGTGTGACATAAAACCCAATCAAACAAACCAAAGGGACATAATATTGTGTGATGCTTAGTATAATGATTTACTTTAGTTACTTCCCTTGGTTCCGTGAGCTGTTTCCCTAGCATGATATCCATCCTGCATTGTAATTCTAACTTTCTTTAAACAATATCATAAATTTTCACCACTTTTCACATGAATGATGGCCGTCTACACAAGAAGTTACAGTAATGGTTCAATTTTACATGTATAACCTAAATAAGAAACCTGTAACCTACAGCTTTGAATTCTAGCAGATTACTGGTGTTAATGAGTTTATTGACACATGTATCGTTTTACATACTATTGTCCCATACTTAAAATGCAGTACATTTTTCTTTTAAAATGGTCAGTTGTAAACAAAAGGTTAGTAAATATTTAAATATCCGTACAATATTGCCAAACATTTTTTTCAAATGATGATGGTAACATACTTTACAATTTTCTTATGATATGCAGTAAGTTATGAAATGAAAAGAAGAACACTTAATTTTCAATCAAATTTAGTTTTAAAGTAATAGTTGTGTTTGATGAAATTGACATGAAAACCATCCTGCAGATGAAAATCATTCTACAGTGTTAAGCACTTTCAGAGTCCAGAACAAGTTGTGACAATGGAACCATCCTGTAGTGTGCAGTGCCAGTTGTTCATGGTGATATATGATCCAGCGCTAGTACATGGTGACAAGAGAACCATCTTTCAGTGTCCAATTCTAGTACATGTACATGACGACAACTGGGCCATCCTGCAGGGTCCAGCGCCAGTTGTACATGATGACAAATTCATGGTAACAAGAGAACCATCTTTCAGTGTCCAATTCTAGTACATGACGACAACACGACCATCCTGTAGCGTCCAGCACCAGTTGTACATGGTGACAAATACATGGTTACAAGAGAACGATTATTCAGTGTCCAATTCTAGTACATGACGACAACACGGCCATCCTGTAGGGTCCAGCACCAGTTGTACATGGTGACAAATACATGGTTACAAGAGAACCATCTTTCAGTGTCCAATTCTAGTACATGACGACAACACGACCATCCTGTAGCGTCCAGCACCAGTTGTACATGGTGACAAATACATGGTAACAAGAGAACCATCTTTAAGTGTCCAATTCTAGTACATGACGACAACACGGCCATCCTGTAGGGTCCAGCACCAGTTGTACATGGTGACAAATACATGGTTACAAGAGAAACATCTTTAAGTGTCCAGTACATGACGACTACAGCGCCATCCTGTAGGGTCCAGCATCAGCTGTACATGGTGACAAATACATGGTTACAAGAGAACCATCTCTCAGTGTCCAGTAAATGACGACAACAGCGCCATCCTGCAGGGTCCAGCACCAGTTGTAAATGGTGACAAATACATGGTTACAAGAGAACCATCTTTCAGTGTCCAATTCTTAGTACATGACAGACAACAGCGCCATCCTGCATGGGTCCAGCACCAGCTGTACATGGTGACAAATACATGGTAACAAGAGAACCATCTTTAAGTGTCCAATTCTAGTACATGCCGACAACACGGCCATCCTGTAGGGTCCAGCATCAGTTGTACATGGTGACAAATACATGGTTACAAGAGAACCATCTTTCAGTGTCCAATTCTAGTACATGACGACAACACGGCCATCCTGTAGGGTCCAGCACCAGTTGTACATGGTGACAAATACATGGTTACAAGAGAACCATCTTTCAGTGTCCAGTACATGACGACAACAGCGCCATCCTGTAGGGTCCAGCATCAGCTGTACATGGTGACAAATACATGGTTACAAGAGAACCATCTCTCAGTGTGTAGTTCTAGTAAATTACGACAACAGCGCCATCCTGTAGGGTCCAGCACCAGCTGTACATGGTGACAAATACATGGTTACAAGAGAACCATCTCTCAGTGTCTAGTTCCAGTACATGACGGACTACAGCGCCATCCTGTAGGGTCCAGCACCAGCTGTACATGGTGACAAATACATGGTTACAAGAGAACCATCTCTCAGTGTGTAGTTCTAGTAAATTACGACAACAGCGCCATCCTGTAGGGTCCAGCACCAGCTGTACATGGTGACAAATACATGGTTACAAGAGAACCATCTCTCAGTGTCTAGTTCTAGTAAATGACGACAACAGCGCCATCCTGTAGGGTCCAGCACCAGCTGTACATGGTGACAAATACATGGTTACAAGAGAACCATTCTCTCAGTGTCCAGTACATGACGACAACAGCGCCATCCTGTAGGGTCCAGCACCAGCTGTACATGATGACAAATACATGGATACAAGAGAACCATCTTTCAGTGTCTAGTTCTAGTACATGACGACAACACGGCTGTACATGGTGACAAATACATGGATACAAGAGAACCATCTTTCAGTGTCCAATTCTAGTACATGACGACAACAGCGCCATCCTGCAGGGTCCAGCACCAGTTGTACATGGTGACAAATACATGGATACAAGAGAACCATCTTTCAGTGTCCAATTCTAGTACATGACGACAACATGGCCATCCTGTAGCGTCCAGCACCAGCTGTACATGGTGACAAATACATGGTTACAAGAGAATGATCTTTCAGTGTCCAATTCTAGTACATGACGACAACACGGCCATCCTGCAGGAATCAGCCCCAGTTGTACATGGTGACAAATACATAGTTACAAGAGAACCATCTTTCAGTGTCCAGTACATGACGACATCAGCAGGGTCCAGCACGGAAGTAAGACATTTTTTACAATTATATGATAGAAAGCTATTTTCTAATGATGTTCTTCCGTCAAATGAGCTATCTCTTTCTATGAGGGAACCTTTAAAGTTCCTCCAACTGTCATATTCTTATCAACCCTACGTCTTATTCCTATAAATGTTTTTAATTATATTTACATTTACATACTGGATCATCACCACCACCACCACCACCACCATCATCATTATCATGTTTCTTCTTCTTCTTCGTCTTCTTCTTTCTTCTTCTTCTCCTTCTTCTTCTTCTTCTTCTTCTTCTTCTTATTATTATTATTATTATCATTATTAATTCAGCAACTTAAAGAACGACGTTCACAGTAACCGTTCACAGTAACCTTTAAAGCTGTGAAAAATTTCGCGTGCTTGACTTTCTTACCTGACATTTATCATCAGTCGTGTATGCTAAAATTTTATTAGACTTTCTTACTTCCTCTTCAATAAACATAGGAGAGAAAAAAGTTAATTTGTTAGATGCTTTAAGTCAGTAGACCATGAGTAAGTTCTCATTTTAAACGCATATATTGTTACAAATTTGCATTCATGATTATGCTTAACCGATTTGCTTGATATTATATAGCATATACATCATAACTTAGATATTATATTTATGTTTATTCATTAATATACTCGTAAATACCGGTATATGAATGGGGGAAAACGATCTTGAGCACAAATACATTAATCAAGAACTGATTTTTTTTGCCTTCTGCAGAGATGGTCTGTATTTCTATTCACACATATTCAATCATTTTGAATCATTTATTAAATAAGACTCAACCATTTATTTTACATTCTGTTGATGTGACATCTCAAAGCAGCATGCCTCCAAATTCTTCTCATGAAAATTTTGAAATATTATTTAGAAGTAAACAAAGAACGTAATTAACTCACTGTAGACGGCGCTCACAAGTTAACGTAAATTACCAAAAAGATGTCAAAGTATGCCAAAATAGCCCTTACGACAGTAGGAATAAGGTAATAAATACAACAAAATATTTTTACTTCTCTACGAATCATAGTACATTTTCCTCAAGTTTGATTTTCTAGAAATATTTTGACCCATCTGGAGGCATGCAGCTTGAAACATTTAGGCGTGACACCAGAATTAACGTCAATTGTACCATAATAGATCTGTAATACCCATAAATAATAACGTTGTTGGTATTTAGTATCGTACGTGACAACAAAACCACGGAAAATGAATATACGGATGCTGGTCACGTGAGATATATGATCAGATATTACATATGAGCCGTGTCATGACAAAACCAACATAATGGGTTTGTGACCAGCATGGATCCAGACCAGCCTGCGCATCCGCGCAGTCTGATCAGGATCCATGTTGTTCGCTATCAGTTTCTCTACTTGTAATAGGGTTGGTAAGCGAACAGCATGGATCCTGATCAGACTGCGCGGATGCGCAGGCTGGTCTGGATCCATGCTGGTCGCAAACCCATTATGTTGGTTTTGTCGTGACACGGCTCATATCTATATATAGCCAATAATAAATTGCTCTAGAACAAAATACTATGATTTATTTTATTCTTATGAACAAAATATTGAGAAATATTGATTAAATAAAATGCGTATTTTTATTTCCAGTATTTTCACTATATTTTCCGTATTTTCTCTGGTGTCTTGGCGGACTACTTTCTTCTAAATGCAGCCAATACACAAAATTAAAAGGGAATTCTTCCTATTCATAAGGTTAAAAAAAGGTATAAAATAAACAGAAAATTCAAGTTTTTTTCTATAAATACAGGATTTCATTTCATCTTGTGGTATGAAAATAATCATATTTCACTCGCGGCTACTGCCACTCGTGAAATATTTATTTTCATACCACTCGATGAAAATAAATCCTGTATTTATAGAAGAAACTTGAATACTATTACCCTCTTTTATTAAATAAATGTTTTACTAAAATCACTTGGAACTCAATAAATATTTTATAAGAATATCAAAATACATGTAATACAATTCTATTGTTGTTTTTTTTTATTTTGTTGTTTTTTTGTTGTTTTTTGGGGGTTTTTTTTATATATATTTTTAATACTTACTGAGATTAGAATATGTCCACTGTAGATCAATCCACGATAAAGATGACATTGTTACTGTGACAACAAAAAGTGGTGATACAAATGTCACAGAAGTTACAAAGGTTAACTATAACAGTTTATGTTGCTGCGAAAGAGTTTATTCCACTTTTCTTGATAAGAGACACTCGGCCAGTATAGTACATCAGTCACTATTGATGGCGGCATCCTTGGCCGAGTGGTAAATGTCGTTCTCTTCAAACCATTTGCCCTTCACCGCTGTAGGTTTGAACCTCGCTTCTTTCATGTGAGGAAGCTATCAAGCTAGCTTACGGAACGTCGGTGGTTCTACTCAGGTGCCCGCTCATGCTTGAAATAATGCCTGGAGAGACACTTGAGGTCTTCCTCCACCAGTAACGCTGGAAACTCCACCAGTTAAGCTTGAAAGTTGTCATATGATGTGTACAGTGTTGATGCGACGAGTATTAGTGCGACGTAAAACCCAGCCAAATAATATATAAATTTAAATAACTATTGAAAATCACTGTCTTGATAACCGAACCTACGTCAACTTGACGAGCTTCGTCCATCATTTCACAAAAAACACACACACACACACACACAATAAAGAAAAAAGGAAGAGAAAATAAAAGAACTTTAAACAAAATGAAATACCCTGGTTGGTTTACCGAACGCAATGACTATACATTACTCGTTACGTTTGTTTCACTTTAGGAGATAATGCATTTGTCCTTTGATTGTGACTTTGATTAGTTTCAAAGTCGCACATTATGCTACAGAAACGAATAAATGTTTTCTTTTCTATTAAAAAGGGGAAATATGAACTTTTAACATGAACGTTTTAATAATGGATTTCAAGCATACTGTTACCTAAAGCAAATAGTGCTAGATGTGAAATTATCTGTCATAAAAGTAGCAAAATGTAAACAAAGTAGTATTCTAACTTTCATACAAAAAACTATATCACTGTAACTGTCCATATTGCAAAAAAGTAAAAAAGAAACAGAAGATAAGGATGGTCCAGGTAATTGGCCAATGAATAGCTTTTTGGAAGCAATAAAATTTCATCCAAAATAAAAAAGAAGCTTTTGAGAAAAAAAAAGTTTAAAAGGATCGCCACTGGGAAATCACATTTAGACATCTCCTTTTTGAGTTTATAAGCAATTATATTTAGTAAGTATTTTAACTAGTACTAAAGCGCAGCTCCGTGAGATTTTCTCTCCATAATTATGAAATCAACTATTCTTAAAATTACTAGCATGGTGTAGGTCAACATTACAAGAGGTGTTGGTTTAAAGACACATCATAAATAAATAAATAAAAAATAAAAAATAAATAAATAAATAAATAAATAAAAAAATAAATAAATAAATAAATAAATAAATAAATAAAACTCCGACATTTGTTATCTAATAAATTTGTGAATTTGAACTGGGACATAAGTCCCAGATTTGAAACACTATATATAAGCTCTGAAATCCCAAAATTTCGTGGTTTGACGATATACATATATAAATTTATATCCTAGGACATCATAAATCATGTCCTAGATTGACCTGATTTCATCTGGATTACATGATCAAAAACTTAAAGAACTCCGCTGCGGTTTAAAAAGAAAATTAAAATGAAATTTGTAGCTGGGACATATACGACGCAAAAGAATTTTTTTTTAAAAGGCCGGAATCCCTTTAAAGTTTTTTACTACAAGTTTAAAAAATATTATGAAATGGATATGGTATTTTAATTAGTTTAATTGAAACACTTAAAAATTACCACGGACTTAAAATTTTGTCAATTAAAGCCTTTTATTAAATAAAAATCTTCTAAATATTTTATTATTATCAAATCAAATCAAATCAAAATTTATTTATTGTCGGTATACATATATAACATTTTACAAAACATAAGCTATGTATAGCTTTTGACCGACATACATGCATAAGATATAAATATTTTATTATTATAGTAACGAAGCAGTGAAAGGCAGATAGTTTACAATGATTATTGAATTCATCAACTTTTCCCTTGTTGAAACATAACTTATGAAAATAGATCAAATTCAGGAAAATAATACGTGCTAAAAATTCTCAAAATATTGAGAACCAGCCACTTGTACCCCAAATTTGGTCACATGACTTTTTTTGACGTAAGGCCTAATAACACTTCTAACCGGAAGTACATTATACGTAAAGTAGATCTTAATTAACTAGATGTTATTTTGTACTATTAAGTTAATTATTTTTTAATTATTAAGTATATGCCGAAATAAATGGAAAAAGTCAAATGTGTTTGTCAAATTAATCAATGTTTACCCGAAAAAGCCGCGATGTTTATTCGTACGCAGCACAATGAAAGTAGTGCGAGCATCTTGTAAATATGGTTTTTCATGGATGTCAAGAAACTGAAAGTTTTTATGGAATTTTCAGCCAAAAATGTAGTCTGTAACTGTAATGTGCGGATATGTTGTTCAATATTCAACATAGACTAGGTTCATTTGAAAACCTTTGTGGAAATAACTTTAAATTATAGAGAAAATTACTTGAATAAGTGGCAACCATGTAAACCGTTTGTGCAATCTGGGACAGGTTGCACAATTTGAACCAAAATATTTTGAGTCCCAAATATCGTTGAAATTTGATTTTAAGAACAAATCTGTTTATCATATAACTGCTTCAAGATGTCAGATTCTCAGAGGTAAGATTATTGTTTGAAAGTCTGTTGTGTCACGTTTTTTATGACCTCAATTTCTAATTTAAAAAAATCTTGATTAGACCAGTTTGGTAATATTATTTCAGGTGAGGAAATTTAATTCAGTTTTGAAAATGACATGTTTGATGATATTCTATGTGTGAAGGTTGATAAATCTGCTCCTTTAGTCTTTGAATCTTTTAAATAAGAGATCTACCCTGGTTTTCAATCATATTTTCTGAAAATTATTAATGGGACCATCTTCAGAAAATAAGATCATTAGTATTGACTATTGGCAGTTACTTTTTATTCAAGTATCATTTTTTTACATAGTACACAGAAGTCTGCTGCAAGAAAATATTGCGAATGCAACAGAAGATTTACTAAATAATATTTTGACATGAACTTATTTTAGGTTTGGGTTCAACCATCAAGTTTGTTTGTTTGATTTTACGCCTTTTCCCAACAGTATTTCAGTCATATAGGCAGGTAGTTTCCTAACCATCGTTCCTGGAGAGTTACACCAGTACTAGACTACCTTCATCCGCGCTAAACTACCAAAGCATCTCCCGGGGATTGAACCCATGCCAGAGAGGTAACTGGATTAGAAGTCATCGACTAACCCCTCGACCACGGAGGCGGTACCATCAAGTTTATCTTTCTTATGTTATTCATTACTTATTGCCAAACCCTCTCATGTTTGTGATAGGCAGCACAACATAAGGTGCACATTGGAAATGAGGTGTTTAAATCCTGAAAATGAATATTTTCAGGATTATGAGAAATTTGAAGGTATTAGCGTCATACTCATAGCACAACAAATAACACAACATCATGAACATGTCAAATATTAGTGTATCTTAACTACTGCCTGCTTGCCTTGGTCAAGATCAGAAAATTTAAAATGCTTTTCCACAAATATAGCCCCATGATTTTATGCCCGCATGTTAAACTTGTTGGGAGGCCGGGAGTAACTCCCCTTACCTATCCGGGAACGATTTGTAAACAACCTTGCTTAACAGTAAGTCTTGCATGCTTAAAACAAAACATTTTTAGTTGCAAAAATGGCATTCATTGCAGGAAATTGGGGAAAATGGGCAAAAAATTTCCGGCTTTGAAAAAAACCAAATCTATTTGGGGGGGTAAGGGGGGGGCCCAATTTTTGATGAAGGGTTGGTTGAAAACCTCCCTTTAATAGTTTCCCCCAGAATTGTAAATTGCACATGTAAACATTGTTTAATTATTTTAAAAAGGTATTTTTTTAAAAGAAAAATTAAATTGAAAAAAAATTTTGGGGCCGGTTTTGGAAAACTTTTAAATTACCCTTAAATTTAGTCAAGTTTACCTTTAATATAACTTTGGAGAAAATTTTCAATTTTAAAATGTTTGGCAAAATAAAAAAAAATTGGTGGAACATTTTTTTGGCCCACAATGCTGACCCCCAACTAGTTAAATTACCCCCATTTTTTGAAAAAAGTCAAAAGAACAAAAAATATAAATGAATTTTTGAACCCCCCCCCCCCCCCCCCTCTGGACCCTGCCACCATTCTGACAAAAACCACTGAGTCTGTGTTATGAATTTAAGTAATATGATAATTGTATGCATTTTTTCATGGTAGAAAAGTATATGTTTCCGAAAGTGTCTGGGATTAAGGGTTCCATGTTATTACTTGTAATAAGAGTAACGATATGCATCTAATGCATGCACATCTGACTTGCATGTTAAATAAGCTGATTGATATAAAGTAATGTCAGAAAAAATATACTTCTTTGTCACACATTGACAACATTAAGTTTGCTTTTACATGGATTCTTTCACATTTTCCCCAATATGTTACATGCCATCGATACATCACCCAAATCTACTGTAAAGAAAAGGAAAGGAAATTAACTTTCTTTGCTTTGAATGTTTTCAATGGAAGTTTTTCCAACAGATGTCTCTTAAAAGATCAAACTTGAGATATTGGATTAACAAGACTCATTTGTTAATTTTTAAAAGTTTTGATGTGTCGGCTGGTTTTAGTTTGCTTGGCAATTTTTCACTGTAAGGATTGAACATGGATACTGTATTATATAATGTAATTGTAATACTTTGTGGCCTATCTTTTAACACTTTTATTGTTGTCATTATGTAATGATCTTGTCTTAGTTTAAATAGCAAACATGTATGTATTCCATTGTTATTTAAATTCATATATGCCGTTATTATAATCGAGTTTATCTGACTCATTCTGAGAGTTGGAATTAAGCCTCAGACATAAAAGAATATGTTTTGAACTGGCATGCAAAAGTGAGTACAGTAGGCATATACTATGAGAATGATAAGGTCTAAGCCTCCAACCTGTTCAGACTAAGTGATAAGCCTTAAGAGCCAGGCCAGCATGCACAGTCATGCCCATCCCTGCAGTCTGATTGGGCTAGATATGTTGGGTAATAATGTTTGTATTTTGATAATGAAATCCACTTAAATTTGCACAGACTGTTCCAAAATCAAAGCAGGGTAAATCAAGCCATAATAGTATACCAAAACTTCAAATGGACTGTTCCAATTTTATAAGGGAAATTCCATTATTTACCAGTAAACTGTTTTAGGTTTAATTTTAGCTTTCTGCTCATTCATGATGTATTGGTAAAAACTGAGCACTGAACCTTAAAACATGAAGACAATGAATTATTACTTGGCATGATATCAGAAGAAAGTGTCAGTTATTTGAGGAGAATATGATTATAAATATATATTGGGTGCATAAGTTTTCCTAGAATGTGCTATGTTTGTACATTTATCTACAGTGCTAAATAATGTTCACCAGTTTATTGGTACTACCTGAAAGTTTGAGAGGAACTGTAGAACTGGCATTTCTGAACAAATATATGATAATTATGCATGCTTTTTTAAATATCTGGTATGTAAAGGTCACTGTGGTGTGAAACTAGGGAAATTCTTGTCTTTCACAAAATTGACATATTTAAAAAAAGGAGATCTAAGAAATTGAAATAAATCTGAAAAAAAAAAGCATGACCTCAGTGCCCTTATTTATATATTTACAAATTTTGTAATGGCCTTGAATATCAATTTTAGTGTTTTATCTATATTCTACGAATCATAAAAGGAAGTATATAAAATTATCAGAAAACAATATATTTTTCTTGCAATCTGATAAAATAGTAGCCATTCATAAAGAGATGTGTCATGATTATGAGAGGTTATCTTAGTCTTAAAGGTAATAACAGTGTAATGTAATACAATGGTTCATCAGTGGATAAGTGTTATCTTGCAGTCTCATCATGCAGTGAAGTTGGCACACTGGTGCATTCTTCTTCTAGACCAATTATTACATCGTCTGTTACCTTGCTGCCGTGTCTGTTCTAATAATGACCCTTGTTGCCATATTTTGTTCTAAAAAGAAACTTACTACCATGTTTGTTCTAATATAACACTTACTACCATGTAAGACCCTTGTTGTCATGTTTGTTCTAAAAATGACCGTTGTTGTCATGTTTGTTCAAATAATGACCATTGTTCAAATGTTGCCATGTTCTGTTCCAAAAAAAACAACTTACTACCATGTTTTTTTTCTAATACTGACCCTTGTTGTCATGTTAAAACTTTGTTCTAAAAAAGAATACTACCATGTTTGTTCTTATAATGACCTTTGTTGCCATGTTTTGTTCGTTAAAACATACTACCATGTTTGTTCTAATAATGACCCTTACTACCATGTTTGTTTTAAAAATGACCCTTGTTACCATGTTTGTTCTAAAAATGACCCTTGTTACCATGTTCTAAAAATGACCCTTACCACCATGTTGGTTCAAATATTAACAGAAGCACTTCATTGTTTGTTTTACTATTTGAAAACCCTTACTGGCTAGTGGCAGATAATGACAAGTCATTAGTGTAGATTATGCTATTCCAAAGTAATTGTTGAAATGTGTTGTATGTTGTTACCTTAACAGACTTCCCGAAAGTTGAAAAAAACTGTGAGACATTCGGTCTGACAAACCCTGAAAATCTGTCGGACCCAAACAAAATCTGTCGGACCAAATAAAATTGATCAAAATCAAAGAAAAACTTGTGTTTGTATTTCTAAGACACTTTTTGTTTTTCATTTTTTCGCCGTAAAAATCGACACAATCCGTACAGCGCATTTTCATCTCCTCCCTGTCATACACCAATGATTCATGGTTCTGCTTTCATTTTTCATTAAATTTTGTCTCATGTCTAATATTTTCATCATTTTATTGCTTTTCTGTGCACTCTTCTGACGTAGATTTTCGGTTTTTCCAAGGTTTGGCACCTTTAGCGACGCCATTTTGTATACATGCGGCTTGAATAAAAGCCGGACAGTCGGACCGATCCGGAATAAAAAATTGTCGGACCTGATCAAAATTTATCGGACATGTCCGTCGGACCGACGTATTTCGGGAAGTGTGCCTTAATTGACAGAGGTGAAATCTTTTCTTTTACAGTATGCGTTTGCCGGAGTTGACGAAGGAGGATTTTAAGAACATGGCTAAACAGAGGGAGAAGGCAAAGAGAGATCAAAATGCGAAACAAGCCAAAATCAGCGCAACATATGGTGAGCCAGCCATGCCTGCAAGTGTTAGCTTTCCTGCACCAGTAAAGGTACCGTATGCAAGTTTTCATTGTTTTGTTTACCTTCATTGACAGAATAATCCAGATTTGGATTAAATTAGACTTAGTTGCACAATCAGTGCACATCTTGTGCTGGTTTTGGACATATCAACTACTGGCCTTGAGGGTTAAAAGCTTTTCTTGGAGGTCTGTTTCAAATATCAGGATTTTGCATTAGTCATTGTACATTCTGTGACAGTTCTAACCAATCAAATACCTGAGATAGAGAATTTCTTTATAACCCGGCACCCTAATTCATCGGTTATATAGCAATATTCTAAGCTCCAGTATTTGATTGGTTGGAAACAAGCTCAGAATGTATATGATTGGTCGAAAACAAGCTTAGATAGTACACTGACCAATGAAAATCCTGAGATCTGACTTTTAAGACAAGTCATGCTGACACAAAAAATGCTTAATTGTTTGTCAGAGATTGTCCCAATTTTAGTAATGTATTATGTATTATTTGTTTCTTAGTTCTTTAGGTTTTTCATCAGTAACTTAATACTTAGATGGAAATGAATAATGGCATTGGATTATTTTAAAAATGATGTAAATTTTTTACCATAGATTGTAGAGCTGTCATTGATTCAGTGAAAGGCATATCGTCGATATATCGATATCAGATTGCAAACATCGACGATACACCGATATATCGATATATTTACCTGTATTTCACATTCATATTTGTATGAATGATTTTAGTAAACAGAACACCTTCTTTACATGAACTTATGATGTGTTTTGTTCATAAATGTCCTCTGATCATATTTTGCAAATATTAGTGCTATGAAATATGTAAATTATCAAATAAATATAGAACTGAATATAAAACTGAGTATAAACTGTGGTTATTCATTTACTGGCCTCTATCCATATCTATACACCATCACACTAAGCAGAACACTTCAATGACTACAGTTACAATATGGAATCACTAGTTCACTTGACTATATACAGAGTTCAAACTTAAATGTATATTAACTAGAATGACTAGTTTACATGACTAGAGTAGAAAAACATAATTATTACATAAAAAAAATCAAATTTGTGCATGAGTTTTGTATGTAGGTGTTAAATAATAGTGACTGAAGTCATAAAGTATTGACACTTGAACACAGTGGATACAAAAACACAGTTGATAATAAGGATGCAAAGGAATTTGATTTTGAAAACATACATTTCTGGAAATAACTGTAATTTAATAGGAATTTATCAAATTGAAATACAATTTTATTGACTTTTTATGACATTTTTGTAATTTTACTGTTCATACAGAACAAGGATTTGTCAAACCATTGTTACGCTTTTACTTGACAAAGTTAGAATAATTATTTATTTTATTTATATAGATCTTCATATTTATTTATTTATTTTGTAAATCATAAAATGTTAGGAATTTTCCAAATTATTTTATTGTTAAGTAATAGCCTACTGATTATATTGTTTTTACAATCGGTCTTGTAAACCTTGCCCCAATCATTGTTTACGACTCAAGTTAAATGTATTGCCGCTATTAAAATGGCAGTCATACGACGAATCTAACTAGGGACTAATTTTGAGTTAACAACCCCTTTTTCATCAACAAACCCAAAATGTTCCCAAATGGGAATTGGTTTTGAAATTTTAGCCTTCTTTTTGTCCCAACAATTTTAATGTTTTCAGCCATTTTTAAGTGTTGCTAAGATATGGGCATAGACTAAAATGTAGACAATTGTGAATGATGAATCTCATATCAAGTCAGTTTAAGAACTTTAGGTATAATGATAATTGATTTAGATCTATTGGATTTTTATTTTCAAATTATTTTTTAAAATTGGATTGTTTTGTTTATATAATTTTCAACACAAAGAAATATGTTTTTTTCTGAAGTGCAAATACAGCTTCCATACAGTAGCTGTCCATTTAGTAGTCACGGTATAGTTTTAGACATGTCCTTTTGACAGGGCACCTGTTTCCGTTTATGTTTTGAGTTAATTTTCGTCGTTTCCACAGGTACTTGAAACAAACTACTTTAATGTTCTGTATGGGCTATATACTATGGTATTTTCTATACTTTTAAAAATTAGTGAAAGTATCGATTTTTTAAAATTTGAATCGATAATCGATCGACAAAAAAATATCAATGATACATCGATATCGCTTCTATCGATGACAGCTCTAATAGATTGTATCACTACTACAAAGAAGACCTGGCCTGTCATATACTCAGTTTGTTTTAAGTCTATTTTAGTTTTTAATTGTGTTTTTATGGCTTATCTACATGGTGTATCTCCTGCGAAAGGTTGTTTAAGTTGTTGTATGTAGTGTATGTTAAGTTAGAGGTAACCGAGAAAATGATAAATATGTGTATTTGAAAACTGTTTCTTTTATTTATGTAAATGATTATGTCATCATTATGAACATTTGAAACAAAAACTTTTGCAAGAACATATGTATACAGGTTCAGAGAAAAAAAAATACCTGAACTTGTTGAATAATAGAAAGATGGCTGAAATGATCAAATTGCAAATCTGCTAAACAAACTTAATTGCGAACATGAAATTTGATGACCGACTTTGGCGTGTTTGTCATTTTGATATAAGATCATATTTCTTGAAACTCAGTTGTTTTAATTAGAGAAAGTTCCTGTACATTCGCTTTGTAGAATTTATAAGGTATATTACATTGTTTGTCAGCGATCAAAGCACCCCTAGGGGCTGGCAATTAATTAGAAAGATAATGAAATAACATTATGCTGAGTCGGCAAGAATGGAAAATATTATGAAACGAATCTGTTTAATGTTGATATTGTAGAAAATATATTGTAAAACTGACTTGATTGTACAGATCATATAGATCCTATGGCAGGTGCTGTGTGTATTTTTTTCCCTGTGTAAGCATTGATTAATCTGCAACATGTTGTTGGGAATTGTTACTTCTACTGTCAGTAATAAAATGTCAGTTTTCAAACATCAAAGTCGTCCAAAATAATGAAAAAGAGAGAAATGCAGTTAGTAATCTGTTTCTCTGGTTTTTGCATTTCTTCTGACTTATAATTTAATAAGTAATTAGTAGTACATGTATAGGGATTTTAGTTTAATTATGGTGATAATAATGGTAGAAAAGATATTATATTACCTCTTAACTTGCATACAATGATCCTCTTTAACTAAGAATCTTGTATGCAAGCTTAGTAGTATATTTCTTGAAGATTTTCTAGAATTATATGAAAGCATGACATTTAATACGCCACGCAAGTCACTTTCAATTTCCAGTAACTATAGCTGTTATTTTACAGAGTTTGAATGAAAATTTTCTCTTTCCGAATTATTAGATATTGGAAACGATGATGGCATTCTCCCAAGGTTGTCAAATTTTATCTTTGAATTTTGAAAATCTGAACTAGAGGTCAATCTAAGTCTGATACAAGTTCAATGGCTTACATTGTAGTTTAAGTAGGGAGTAGTGGCTTTTTTTCCCTTGAAGGGGTAGGGTAGGATGACATGCCTAAAGGTCCCGGTGCAGAATCCAAAATTAGTAAGGTTATTAGATAATGATTCCCATCATTGGTTTTTAATTGCAAACAAAGCAGTACTTAAACAAAGATTCTAGAGTTGTTTATTTACATTTCTAGGGAGTTTTTACATTAAAATCGCACCATATTCAGGAAATGATGATTATATCATAATATTAAAACCATATGACCCTAAACTTTCAGATAGATCTGTGGCTCCCGGTTGTAACTTAATAAACTGATTAAACATTAGATAAGACAGTACTGCAATGAAAATATTTAGACTTGATTTTCAGTAAGAACACAACTAAACTAAACATCATCTAGAGTAAATGAAATTATTTCAAACAGGTCATTACCTCTTGCCCTGATAAATTTGTAACATGGCCTGGTCGGTAATTGAAATGGAGTCAAACACATTTTTATCTCTGAAAATTTTCTTGTTACATCTAAAATTAGCCTGGCTACTCGATAGGATGTCAAAAATAGAAGCACTAATCGAAAGGTTGATAAAATCTCTTTGTTGAGACTGTATTAAGACCTGTGCATTGCGAGAAATGTCTAAAAAAGGAAGAATTTGACCATTTTTATACTGTTGATTATTAAATGTAACACAAATATCAGCTATGAGAGTCCAAGTATAGAATTATAATAATTGCACTTTGAGCTTATCTAATATTTAAGACCTTTTTAGTAACGCTTCTGATAGGCAACATTTGTGTTGCATTATTTCTTATGCAGATCGGCTAATTTCATGCTGTTAGAAGTTATGTTATAGTGGTTTTGCTCCTTGAATATTGGTAATTTGCATGTCACGTTTTTCTCATAAATATAATTCCAAACTGGAGGTTATAATAATGCTCAGCAAATACTTGTACATGACTGTACATATATATTACCAGTTTACCTTCTCAATTTAGCAGGGAAATTACTTGGTAAATGCCACCATTGTAGAGCCAGCTAGGCTAGTCTCAAACATCTTTGCTGTCACAATATGAACTCTTTGCTGTTGGCCCAGCAGTTGAAAGTGCTCATTGTGATGTAGAAACCCCCTAAAAATACTAATTTAAAGCATGGCCCTTCTATGTAACAAGGTTATTGCTAGAGGGGGGTGAAGATAAATACAACTTCTGGCTGTGATAAAAAATCATGCAATTAAAAAAAAATGTTCATCACCTGAAAAAAGTAACCCAAATGTGTATATAAAGAGCGGAAAACACATTTGTGTTTTGAAATTATGATGAACGTCCATATGGTTTCCTTGCCCTTTTTAATTCATTTTTTTTTACTTAAATAATGTACATATGAAAAAATATATATGTACAATATATGTTTTAAAAAAAACACTTTCAGTTACTTACAAGTGTGAGGAGAATAGCTTTAATTTAGTGTAAGAATGGATAAAGGTGTTACTACATGTAAGAAATAGTAGTGGATTGTAAGGAAATCCTGTTATCATGATGGGTCATGATGGGTCAAACCAGGATTCAGGATTTTGTTCTGATGCAAAATAGTTACAAATTAATTTAATACTTGTATGTCTTTTTGTATTTATAGTTTTAAATCACAGCCACTGTGTGAGGCTGAAAAAGGTCATGCATGTATATTGTTTTCCAAGCTTTATTGGAATTTAATACCTCACCTCCGACCTCAGGTGCTTCTCAATGCATTATTGAAGGCACTAGCAGGCTTATACTGAGTAGAACAATAATTACCTTATATATAACATGCTGGATAGGAGAATTAATTGTTCAATCTGAGATTCAAATCCATAGCCGAAGACATTAACTTGTATGTTTTTATGTAATGGCCGGGGCATATAGTGTTACCCTGTTCCGTCCTTCCGTCATTCTGTCATTCCGTCATCATCAGTTTCCGTTCATTATCTTAGTAACGGTTGCACACATTCAACTCAAATTTGACATATGGATATGTCATGAGAAAATACAGGTCAAGTGCGAATTTGGTCATGGTTCGATGATTTTTGGCAGAGTTATGCCCCTTTTACTTTGAAAATAACATGAAATTTTCAGTTTCCGTTCATTATCTCCCCAACTGTACAACACATTCAACTCAAATTTAACATATGGATATGTCGTGAGAAAATACAGGTCAAGTTCGAATTTGGTCATGGTTCGATGATTTTTGGCAGAGTTATGACCCTTTTACTTTAAAATAATATGGAATTTTCAGTTTCCGTTCATTATCTCCCCAACGGTACAACACATTCAACTCAAACTTGACATATGGATACGTCAAAGGAATGCGCAGGTCAAATTGAAATTTGGTCATGGTCCAATGATTTTTGGCAGAGTTATGCCCCTTTCACTTTGAAAATAATATGAAATTTTCAGTTTCTGTTTATTATCTCCCCAACAGTACAACACATTCAACTCAAATTTGACATATGGATATGTTTTTTTTAGGAATTCCCAGGCCAAGTTCGAATTTGGTCATGGTTCAATGAATTTTGGCAGAATAATGCCCCTTTCACTTTGAAAATAATATGAAATTTACAGTTTCTGTTCATTATCTATCCAACAGTGTTACAATATTCAACTCAAATTTTACATATGGATATGTCAAAGGAATGGGCAGGTCAAGTTGGAATTTGGTCATGGTTTGATGATTTTTTTTGGCAGAGTTATGTCCCTTTCACTTTGAAAATAATATAGATACATCTTAGGAATAAGCAGTTTAAAGGGGCAACATTCGCTGCCGCGGCAGCGAGTATTTGTGGGTGTGACTTATCAGTGATGTAAAACTGTCTGTTATAAACCCTGAACTATAAATAGCACGCAGTGTTAACCTGCAGAGAGAATGTAAACAAAAACAGCTGATTTTACACAGGAGAGGTTTAATGGATGTTTTATATAACTCAAAGATTAATTAAAGACATTATCAAGTCATCTTGTCCAGATATTAAATGTTAAATCCAAAAGATGTGCCTTACATGGGGCATTTCTTTTAGGAACAACCTGCTAAAATGTTCTTGACAGAAATTTAAAATATTTTTAAACTGTTAATGTATAAAATTTTTTATGCATATGCAACATTTAGTTTGATTAACATTTGTGAGATGTAATTTTTGACTACAAGATATTTACAACAAAATATAGTGTAAATGAAATATACCTGGAAGTTACTTTTACTGTTTTCATGAAGTTTAAACCATTCAAATACAAGTTAAATCAGTACTTTGAAATTTAAAAAAAAATCATAGATTAATGGATTATTGTAAATTTGTTGGATTTGATAAAGCAAGTCAGTAAAAGTTATTGTTTTATTCAGCATTGAAATGTGTCGTCTGCTAAAAATCTACCTCCCTGAAATATACATCGTCTGCTACAAATCTCTCTCCCTGAAATAAACACTGCCACGTGCTTCTGTTTACTACTGAAGGTTCATGACCTGTAATGATCACATGGCTCCTCCCAGGGAAATTCAAATTTCAAATTTGACAGCCAGTATTTTTTTCCAGAAATACACTTAACAAAGTTATATTTTGAATAATTTTGGTCAATCTTTATCAAAAATATCTATGCCTACAAATATGCCAAGTGTTATTTTAATGCATTTGGTAATTAATCTTAAATCTTTGAAAAAGGGTCCCTGAAGTGAAGCATGCATAAAATTAATAAGAAACCTGCCCTAGCGCCATCTGCTGGCTTTTATAGTCCAGTTGGGCCTTTAAGTTTGAATTTGGTCGTGGTTCAATGATTTTGGACAAACTTATCTTTCTTGAACGTTGGAAAAATTTTGAACTTTCAGTTTCAGCACTCATACTTTTGTGGAAATGTATGTAGCCATTATGAAATATGCTATTTTCAAAAGGTTAAGACTGAATAATTTCAGTGCCTTGAAAATTGTATGAAAATGGTTTGTGTTAACATTGAAAAGTTTTAAGGGCTTTGAACTTAAAATGAAAAAAATAATTTGTACAAACAAATTTGGAACTAAATATTATAAGCTGCATGCGGGGGCATCCGTGGCATGATGACACATTTCTAGTTTTTTCTTATTCTGCGTTTACATCTTACAATGAAAAATGGGCTGTAACAAAATTCATCGTAAGAAAGTGATCAGCATAGTCCTTATAGCATTTCAACAACTAAAGTAAAATATATGTATTTTTCAGGTGGCAGGAGAGGATACAAGTATAGGTCGGATTATGGGTGTACGATTTGAGGACTTCAACAACATCATGAAACAGTGTAGGTATACGGATGTTGTGGGCGTGGAAAGACAACCGGCCACACCTCTTCCAGGAAAAAGTGTAGATAAGAAATTTTTTAATTCCAGTTCGGCCAGTAGAAATTTGAACTACCATTCAAATACGAGTAGTTCCTCTTCAAGACCAAATAAATCCACTGCTCATAGTCAAAATAGTGTTAGTAATAGTAGTAGAAATGATGGGAAATATAATAAACCATTTCATGGTGATGAGAGATCTAACAGTGTTCCAAGTAGTCATGGTTCAAAAATAGAAACCAGTTCTAATAAAACTACAAGTAGCGAAAGAGCTAGTCTACACAACACCTTGCAAAAACCGGATCAAAAACCAGAATCTTCCAATTCACATGACCATTTTAAATCGGAACGAGGTCAAAGTCAGGACCATTCTTCGGCTAGGAAAGAGTCGATGCCGCAATCAGTAAAACATCAACCAATCAGAACTAGAGAACCAGTGCTTCAATCTATGAACAAAGAGCTGATTGGTCAATCAAAACCAGAAATTAACCAATCTGGTGCGAGTAACCAAATTTTAAGTGCAAGTAACAGAACAGCTGAGATTAGAGACGGAAGGCAACCAAATGATGCTAGAACGGTCTTAAAAGAGAAGGAAGAGAATAGAAATGCTGATGTTGGTAATGGCGCTAAGTTGAAAAACAGACCAAAACTACATATCCCTGAAGTAAGTATATTTATGCTAGGTGACCCATTTTCTAGTTAATCTTTTCACGAATCAGTCAAATATTGAAACAAACTAATAATCATGACTTGTATTGTTGTTCGATTAGAAGTGCACAAAAATCGCACTGCATTGTTGCAATTTAGCTTGTTCTTGTAGACATGAGAAAGATAAGGTGGTGAAGAAAGTGGCTCTTGCACTTTTACAAGTGTATTCTCTACTTGAAACATAAGTAAACTGTGTACATTCTTTGAATTGCAAGTTGAAGTAGGATAAAGTCTTTTTACTTATTACATAATCATTCAATAATTTTGCGTATATATTGGACATGCCAAGATAAGTTGCATGTCATCAGTATACATGTTTATAATTTTTTTTTGGTGGGGGGGGGGGGGGGAAGTAAAGGTCAATGACGAATTTTCAGCCTATTTGGGGGAAGTGACCTAAGGCGCCCCTACTTGCGTTAGACCAGGAACAAGCAGCACCATATGAGAAAACAAAGTCCCTGGCAGGATTTGAACCTACAGCAGTAAGGGGCAAGTGGTTTGAAGTCAAATACCTTAACCACTTGGCCACAGGCACCCTTATCATTATCCAGTATAATGGAAATGTTATTCAGTTAATAATATACAGTATTCTTTTTGGTACATTTGAAACATGCCTTTTGGTGATTTTGTTTGAACATATGGCTGAACTCCTTCAGTGTCAGTTTTTTCCACTGAGTGCTTTTATTGTCTATAATAATAATTATTCATGTACATTGTTCTTGATTTATTTACTTGACAATATTTTTACTACTGAAAACTTTATCTTATATATTTACTTAATATTCATGAATCTGGGGGTACTTTACTTTAAGAGCACAAAGTTGTGATATATTTAAGAAATGTTCGAAGTTGGCACATTTATGTAACAATTATTGACATTTATCAATAATTTGTGGTTATAATATTGACTATAAATGAAGTCATATAACTAAAAAAGTGTTACCTAGTAAGTTTAAATGACCCAGAGGGTATGTTAAATTTGACAACTGGGACTTCCAGTTATAGTTTTAATAACTATGGTATTTTTGTATGATTTTGTATGATGTGCAGAATTATTACAACTTTAAGGTAAAAAGTATGGTAAATTTTTTTGATAAAAAATATAAGAAAGAAAATACAAGAAGGATCTACATTGACATTGCAGTGTAAATAATGGCTTTAAATATAAAAAAAAATGTAAAATTGTGCTTGCCATTTTAGTGATTGGCAACACTTTGTAGTACTATAAATCTGATTTGGATATATGCAGGTCAAAATTATTTGTAAATTCTTGAGTATTACAAAGGTACAGCTAAGTGCCTTTGGTGCATATTTAAAGGTATTGTTTTGGGAAAATTTTATAGTCCAACCAGATGGTATACTGCCCTAGATTCTGACATTTTACTTGATGCACATCAAACCAAATACAGTTGTCTTCTGTCTGAGCTAGCCCCTCTATTTCCCAGCTGCAAAGCCTACAAGCTGACCTTTCCCTGTCCCCCATCAAACACCTGCCGCCCGCCCCCTTAAAAACCCCAGAAAAGTGGAAACAATACAAAAACCTATTCAAAAAGTCAAAAAATATATGAGAAAATTCCTGAAGAACTTAAACAACAATAACAACAAATTTCTATAAAGAGAATTATATAATTCATCTGATGACCTGTCCTAAAAGAACACTTTGTTGTTTGACCATATGTTGCTCATACATTTACATGTATAACTGGTCGTACTGTTTCAAATTTATGTATAAATCATTAAATGTATGTGCTAATTTAAGAAAGACTTGAAATGACCTTTTTATCATATGTAGAGTGCTGGTGTCACATGTGACAGGCCTTGTAAACATGTGACATCAGTTTAATAATGGTATTTATGATCGAAATAATAATTTTCACCTTTATGCCGTCATTAAAATGTCTGAAGTGAAAATGATTGCAATATTTCCCCAGGAATATCTTGACATTTTCTTGGTGATGGTTCAAAAATGATTCTATATTTCATTATATTATAGTTTGTTTTAATTAATGTGGCAATTTTGTTGTACTTAAGTATTAAGTATTCATTGTGGTTATTTTGAGAACATGATTTTTCTGGGTAAGGAAATTCATATGAAAAAGAAACACAATCGGACGAAAATTACTTGTATTTAGTTCTAAGGAAATTTGTTTACATGTATAATAATATACAGGCAGTATTTCGATGTACAAATCTGATCATTCTTAGCAAAAGTTCCCATCTTCATCCCTTGTTTATTTTTTCTGTTCTTTTAAATAAAAAAAAATAAAATTTTCTCAAGAGTGGCTCTCTGTGTATCTGTTTTAAACCAAGGAATTTCTATATTTTGTGTAGTACATCAAAAAATCTGGATCTAATCCTTTATTTTGCTAAATATGATCAAAATATCTTTCTTCAAAGGATTGGCATGACTTTAAATCTCTTTCCAAATTGCATTGTTTTCAATCAATGGCATGGGGTCATTGACCGCTAAGTTTGACCACTTGTGTACACTGTAAAAGTGAATGTCCTTCGGCCTTGCCAGTTCTGTAAGAAGGTGATTATGGCATGCAAATATTCTATGACAGAATGTTTCGTGATTGAACACACATTTTTTGCAGGTATTTTACCATAGCTCAAGTCATGTTTTTGCCAAAGAGAAAAACAAATGACTTGTCTATAAGGCTTCCAGGCATTATTTGCTGAATTTTCTGTTATTTACCATTATTAATGGAAGTAGATGGAAGAAATTCATTTGGAATGACAGAGAATGCAATATTTTATAAGGCATCAAGTTTGCAAACACAGAATTTGTAGACTTTGTTCAAATTGGTGTATAGTTGTTTTCTTGTTACAAAATATTGTTAATATTTTTAACGTGACTATCAAGAATAAGGAAATTTTTTTGTGCTAACCCTAGAGTCAGCATCATACTAAAAATTGGTTACATTTTTACATGCAAATTGGCATCTCCATAATCCATTACTGAAAGGAATTAATTAAAAATTTGGCTGCAGTTCTGATGCCTTAACCCTTAAAGGTAACTCCTCAGGAAGGCACTGTTTTGTGGACAGCTCATAAGAATTTGTTAAGTTGTATAAAACCCATGCTATAAAACGCCTATGACCTATACTGTGTTTGCGAGATGTAAAAACCCAGCAAAAATCAATAAAAATGATACATTTGTTTTCTTTTTACATACAAACAAAATGTGCTAAAGCAAAAAAAAAATGTTCTTACATGTATGTGGTATTTTTCAGCTTTCCAGCAATATCTATTGAATCTTAGTTACTCAGTGGCACATTAAACATCAACATCATTGAATAGACATATTGATGATATTCATATGACCAACAGTATCAGTGTATACATAGAATTCATTTTAAGTGCAAATTATAGTACATTAAGTCCAAAGGTCAGTTTGTAAAGATTTAAATCAATGTCTTTGAAAAGAATTGTTTTTTGAATAAAATGTTGTTTATACTTAGCACATAATTGTATAAGGTCAGTCACATTTAATAATAAAACATGGAATTGGCTTTTAAAAGCATACTGATTTGACCTAGAACTTCAAACTTTGTAAATAGAAACTTATACTTTGAAAACACACATTTTCAGGTCAAAAGGTCAAACGTCAAGGCCACTTGGACCTGTAGTATCTAGATATAAACTGGTCATTCATTAAATCAATGTTGACATTGACCTCAAATGTCATGCAGACTTTGTATGTAGTGTCCATAAATGAGGTCTGCCTGCCATACCAATTTTCAGGTTAAAAGGTCACAGGTCAAGGTCACTAGTACATTGTACCTATATTAGGTTATCCTGTTGTCAGATTCATGGTCAGTACTGCTTTAAAATTCAACTTTCCGCTATTTTGTCAGTATAAATATTTTTCAAAATAATCCTGCAAATGCCCCCCCCCCCCCCAGAAAAAGTTTATGCATGTAAATGTATGAGTGATTTCCATGATTTTAGATCAGCCCTCGTTTATTACAAGGACACTACATTTATTTCTGCAGATGTCACAAGCAAACATGGTATAACAATGTAAACATACAGTACATTATTTAATACTCGTTTTATTGTATGTTTTCTCTGTGTCAGCAAAATGTGAAGATATTTTGTGAACTATATGCTTTATATTCTTATAACTATCATCAGTGTTTTTTTTACCCTGTTGGGAATGAGTCTGGGTCTTTGTCTACAGAATTGGGAATTTTGTAGTCATCAAATTAAAAATGTAAACTGGGAAAATACAAGTCACTGCAAAAGTTGAATTGCCAATTTTGATATTGCTTAGGGGAGAATAACAATTATTTTTTAGCTATTGTTGATAGGTCTTTTATTTTTTCAGAACCATCAAAGGAAAAAATAATGTGACCCTGTACATTAATTATGCACTCATTATCATGTTTAATATGATATATTTTTTTATTTTTTTTTATGATATTAATTTTTTTTTCTTTCTATTTTTCAGAATGTTGAAGAAATGCTTAAGGTATGTATACTTATAATTTTTGTTTTACTGCACTTAAGTGACAAAATTTATTATTATTCTGTTCTGTCTGACCAGGCTCTATAGTATAGACTTTACTGCCAGTAAATTGACAGTTCTACAAAGGAAGCTGGGCAAGTCGATTAATAAATTCAGCAGGTTACGGGTTAATACATTAATTGTACTTTTCTCGAAAATTTGATTACATAGGGGTGTCTGTGGCCCAGTGGTTAAAGTCGTAGGTTCGATCTGCACCAGCGTCTTCCAATTCTTTCATGTGAGAAAGCTATCCAGCTAGCTTATTGGATGTTGGAGGTTCTACTGGGGTGCCCGTTTGTGCCTGTAATAATGCACAAAGGGACATACATGTAAGGTCTTCCTTCACCAGTAAAGCTAGAAAAGTCATCATATGACCTACTTGTATACTGTGTTGGTTCAACATAAAACCCAATAATAATTTTTTTTTAAAAATAAAATGATTACCTGTAGGAGGAGGTGAATGATTTATGAAACTTGCAGGGTAACATGTTTTTATAATAATGTTGTTTTTGTTTTCCTCTATATAGGTTTTAACATGTGAATAACCTAAAATTTCTGTAACATTGCGAACAAGTGTTGTCCATCATTTTAAGGAAGAATATAATTATTTTCTTATTATTCTTTTCCACATGGTTAATAAGAGTTAATTTTGTTGAGAAAGAAAAACAACAACAAAACTTTACTTTTTCATTGTATTTGGATTGGCAATGGTATTTAAAATAGCATATGAAATATAATAAAATGAACACTGAGAATTACAAAGCTGAAGATGGAATTATCAATCTATACCTTCTATAAGTAGTGTACAGACCCCTCCAAAAAAAAAAAAAAATATTAAAAAAAAACGGAAATGGGGGTTAGTTGGTTAGTTGGTTAATGTTTCCTCTGTGACTTTAGCTAGAACTTGCAAGGTCAATACCTCCTTAATGGGGTCTATACTTGTCCTGGTATGTGCATAAATAAATATTAACAAGATTTAAAACATTTTTCACTAAATACAGAAATAGTGGTTTAAAGCAAGCTAAATTTAAATCATTTTAGCAGTTTATATATGACTTTATGTCTGGTCAAAAATACTTCTCCATATAAAATTTAAAGTATGTTTATTAAATTTCCTTGACATCATTTTATGGTGCACTTTATTAGATTTTCTTTGTATTGTTATTATTATAAAACAGGAAACATTATTTATAATCCCAAACTAAATTTAGATGTCCGATAAAAGCCACAAATGTCTTCCATTCGATTCGGCTTTTATTATATCTCAGTCGTTGCTACTTTTGACGTCATGGTATTTTTTTTTGTGTTTATGCAAAATAGTATGACGTATTTTGACATTAAGTCCGGATGAATGACGCATATTGTCTGTCAAGTGTTTGCTTTAATACTATCAATAATAAGTTAGTCCATCTGAGATTTATTGTAATGATATCTCGGTCTCGGTCAAACTCGCAGCCATGACCACTGCTTTAAATACCTTTAGAATACTTAAGTATACTACAGTGTAGTTATATGTTTATACTTCTGTAGAATTTAAATGACTACAGAAAAAAGATACTTGTGTTAAAAGGCCCATTATGCCCCAAAATGCTTTGAATATTAATTCTCAAAAACTTTATTTTTGGTGTTCTTTTGTAGTTTTCAAAACACTCATTGGCCATTTACAAAAAAGTTTTTTTTCTCTTTTGTTGCTTTTTGGCAAATAGTAAAGTCATAGTGATTAAGTATTTTGTATAGAAGTCAAAATAATACTATGTTTATATTTTGCTACTTTTATGACAAATTATTTTGACATTCAGCGCTACTTTCTTCATGTAACACACATCTAACATGCTCTAAAACCATTATTTAAACGTTCGCCTTTTCTAAAAAGGTAACAATTTATTTGTTTCTGAAATAAAGTGGTCTTTGTCACATATTTGGTAAAATTTTGCTGTTTCATAATTATATTTAAAAAATCTGGTCCATGTTTTATGATAGATATTTATATATATCTTTCATGTACATGATGGGATTTTTTTTGTTTTTATGGTTTTTTGTAGACAGATATATTGTAATTATGTTGTTGAAAGTAATGGATATGAGTTGAGTAAGAATTTGAACCCCGCTAATAGCCATGGAGGATAAAAGAAAAGAAATATCATGTTTCTCCTTTGAACAGTTGATAAAGATTCACTTTATCACCAATTTGATTCTCCCTAACAACTGAAGGATTTTACTTTAATCTCTTGTCATGTCTATTATAGACTTAAGAATTTATCGAACTTTTTTTTTTCTCAGTGCAGTTTTTAAAGGGTGAGGGATACATATAAATGGGTTATTAGTTAAAGTAATGGTACATGACTGTATGCATTTTTCCTGATATGAATTTAGTTTGTTTAAGCTATTTTTTAGCTCACCTGTCACAAAGTGACAGGGTGAGCTTTTGTGATCGCTTTTCGTCCGGCGTCCGTCCGTCCGTCCGTCCGTCGTCCGTAAACTTTTACTTTAAATGACATCTCCTCATAAACCACTAGGCCAATTTCATCCAAACTTCACAGGAATGTTCCTTTGGTGGTCACCTTTAAAAATTGTTCAAAGAATTTAATTCCATGCAGAACTCTGGTTGCCATGGCAACCGAAAGAAAAAACTTAAAATATCTTCTTTTAAAAAACCCAAAGAGCTAGAGCTTAGATATTTGGCATAAAACATCATCTAGTCAGTGTCTACCAAGTTTGTTCAAATAAAAGCCCTGGGGTCAAAATTGGCCCCGCCCCAGGGGGTCATTGATTTACCCTATGTGCATATAGTAAAACCTTAAAAAAATCTTCTTTTAAAAAACCCAAAGAGGTAGAGCTTAGATATTTGGCTTGAAACATCTTCTAGTCAGTGTCTACCAAGTTTGTTCAAATAAAAGCCCTGGGGTCAAAATTGGCCCCGCCCCAGGGGGTCATTGATTTTTTCCTATATGCATATAGTAAAACCTTAAAAAATCTTCTTTTAAAAAACCCAAAGAGCTAGAGCTAAGATATTTAGCATGAAACCTCCTCTAATGGGTGTCTACCAAGTTTGTTCAAATAAAAGCCCAGGGGTCAAATTTGGCCCCGCCCCAGGGGGTCATTGATTTACCCTATATGCATATAGTAAAAACTTTAAAAAATCTTCTTTTAAAAAACCCAAAGAGGTAGAGCTTAGCTATTAAGCATGAAACCTCTTCTAGTGGGTGTCTTACAAGTTTGTTCAAATAAAAGCCCTGGGGTCAAAATTGGCCCCGCCCCAGGGGGTCATTGTTTTTCCTTTTATGTATATAGTTAAAACATAAAAAATCTTTTAAAAAATCTTAAAAGCTAGAGCTAAGATATTTAGCATGAAACATCTTCTAATGGGTGTCTACCATTTTTGTTAAATTAAGGGCCCTGGGGTAAAAAAATTGGCCCGGCCCCGGGATCATTGATTTTCCTTTTATGTATATAGTAAAAACTGAAAAAATGTTCTGTTAAAAAGACCAAGAGATAGAGTTTAGATATTAAGCATGAATTATCTTCTAGTGAGTGTTTACCAAGTTTGTTCAAATAAAAGCCCTGGGGACAAAATTGGCCCGCACAGAGGGTGTGGGTCATTAATTGTTTTTCACTATATGTGTTTAGTAAAAACTTAAAGATTTTTCTAGAGCTAGAGCTTAGATATTTATCATGAAACATCTTCAAATGGGGATCTACCAAGTTTGTTCAAATAAAAGCCCCTGGGTTAAAATTAGCCCCGCCCCGGGGGCCTATATACAGGTGAGCGATTTCAGGGCCATCATGGCCCTCTTGTTTTAATAATCTGACATTTTAAGTTTGTATAAATGACTTGCTGATGAATCTTGTATATGTGTATTTAAGTCCTATAAGTAATGACTTCAATACTGCAATACTTAACTTTACAGTAGAAATCGAAGGCAGTGAGGTTTGTGGAAAAAAAAGCCAAATATATATACACACCAGTTAGAATACTCAGTATGAAATTGTTAATCTATTTTAAATAAACATTTGTCCCCATTAAACGACTAAAACAGTGATTTAATGAAAGTCACTGACATGTACCGATAGGTATTTAGTTTGATTGTTCATGTCAAGGGGTTAACCAGTACTATAGGACACCTTACAGGTACATGTGACAGATAGATAAACAGTGCTTTGTTTCACTGTCTAAAATGGCCTCCTGTAATGTGCGGCTTCATGTCACAGATAAAAACATCGCTGGTTATGAAATGACAATAGCAGATATATTTGAGGCACTTGCCGTTATGATAAAATTATATTCTATTTAGCACAAGCTAGTGCTTTTGACATGAATTTTTTGGCCGGGAGCAAAAAAACAGAGAGAAAAAACATTGTATTAAATAAAAATCAATCTTTACTCTTTATGTCGAGATATTAAGTGGAACAAGTTTTATGTAGTATATTGTGAACAGTTTAATGGTTAATTAAATTGACATATTTATGTAATTAACTGTGATCAAGTTTTAATTGTCGTACATCTTTTTACTTAACGGGACTGAATATGTTATTTCATGTTTACAATACTGAAACATTTTGCCTGAGTGGACAAACATCTTAAACAAGCAGTCTTAATTATGCTGGGTCATATTTTAATGCCCTGATTAATAAAAAAGTCAAACAAGGGAGATAATCAAGATTGTTTATATATTTTGTGTAATTTTTCTCAAATGATCCCAACAATATAGTAATTTAAGAATAAGTGAAGCTGCCTGCTATATGTTCATTCTGTACAAAAAATATTTAAAACAAAACACATGAAAATATTTATTATTTGTAAATGGGGTTACGGGATAGTGGGGTAAAATGTTGAGATGGGGGGTATCATGATAAATTGGCTGTGTGACTGTGTTGCCCAACTGAAAATGGAACTTGAAACAGGTGTCTAATGTTAGTTTAATAGATTTCAGCATCTAAATACTAAAAGAATTTAAAAAATAGGCAGAATTGTAAAGTGTGGTCAAATTGTACCATAGTTCGAAAAAACTTCATTTAGCCATTGTCCAATCTACTAATAATCATGCTGATTTTGCAGTTATTAATTTTAATCTAAATATATAGAACTGGCATTTCTTACTGAAAAAAATATAACTACCACTTTATTAAGCTTGTATAAAAGTTAATAATCATGTGCGTTCAACCTTCTTACAATTTTTTTAAACTGGAAAATCAAGAGGGAGGGACCAAGAATCTTTGGCCTCTATAATTGAATGACGGAAAAACCTGTGGGCACAATAATTGAATTTCTATTCATATGAGCGAAAAATGATAAAATGTTCCTCATGAATTCATGAAACATCTTGCAGACATGACCTAAGATATGACTGGGATATGATATATTGATATGACTGGAGTTTGATGATATTTATTTCGGATGCCATAGGATGGGATAATTGTATGGAGGGATTGGTCTATATTTTCTGCTGTAATTTTGGAAGCTGATTTTAAAAATATTTGGTGCCGAAAAGCATCCATGATTATTTGAAGCTTATGTGATTCTTTTCATTCGACTGATTATTTTTTAACATTTAACCTTTAACCCTCTGAATTTGTATAATGGACTTGCCATTCTTTAAAATTGGATCAGTTCATTTGAAGTTTGAGGGATTTTATTAACAAAATTCAGAAGTTGAGCTGCCAATTTTATAGAGCCTCGGGTCAGACTACATGTACATGCACTGACTCCAGCCTGGCTCTATACTAGTCAGTAGTGGCAAAGCCTTATCACTATCTGTTCCAGCAGGGGAAAGGTTGTTCTCAAATAATAATTAAATTCTGTAGACTGAATACCGTTCCTTTTTCAATGTATGCATAATCGAAGTATTGTGCAAGATGGTTAAGTTAAGGTACTGCTTATTTAGAAATAATATACATGCATATAATATTATTGTATATAAGATTTACAAAATGACTTTTAATCAATTTTTATTATATCATGCGTTTTAACAATTAAAGCTTTTAGGGATAATAAATCCCTGAGTCAATTGTGTAAACGGTTTTCTTGTTTATTTTTCAGGAGTTCCAAGTGCCACAACCTTTGACTGGCATACAGACACCGTTCAAGGAATCCCAGTTTCCATTCTCAGTTAGTAATTTTTTCCTTCTCTTTATATCAGTTACATATTATAAATGCCATCATATACTATATTGCTCAGCTATTTTAAGTTCCACTTTCTGAAAAGAAAAGTGAAGCTTTTGCCATGACTGCTTTTTTGTTGGTTAATATTAATTTTCTGAGATTCTACCAAAGCTATTGATAATTCACTTTATACTTAGTTAACATGTTCATTATATAAACCCTCACCTCTGTGAGATCAAATCCCGACAGGGACTTTGGATCTTTCATGTGAGGAAGCTATCCAGCTAGCTTATGAAACGTCGTTGGTTCTACTCTGGTGCCCGTTCGTGCCTGAAATAATGCAAAGAAGGGCACTTGAGGTCTTCCTCCACCAGTAAACCTGGAATGTCGCCTTATGACCTATATTGTGTCAGTGTGACGTAAAACCCAATCAAACAAATAAACAAACAACATAATATAAACTGTGCATCATTTCAAAAGGGCAGATAATTTATAAAATTAATTTTGGCAATGTTGTATTTCCTTTTCAACAGATAAAATTGCAGGACTCAAACCTGCACATGCAGTCAGAACAGGCTAAATTTTCACCTTCATATCACCTAAATTGATAATGGACTGTTCCGAAAACGGAAGTTCAGCCTGTTCAGGTCAGATCACTGAACAGACTCAGGAGGTGAAGGGTGTAATGTTTGACAATGCTAAAATTGTGGTCAACACTATATATAAATTCAAAGCTATGCTTGCTTGCCTTGTTAAACAGCACTGAAGCCCTAGAAAGACACAGTCTCTGCCATTATGTAATAGAGATCTTTTTATAGCAGGAATGTGCTTAACTTGTATGTAATCATTTGATTTGCATTGTTTGAATTTCTTTCAGGACAAAATACAAGACAGGAAAGACTTGAATATCAATGGGAAGAGTAGCAAAGGTAATTTGTTGTTGTCTTATACAAGTTTGTTAAATTCTTGGCTCAATTACCAGGGCTTCAGTTAGTGGAAGTTTTGAAGTAATTTACTCATCAGTCTTTGGTTTTGGCTTGTGACTTCCAAAATATAATGCTTTTTCTTCTTTACCTATATAATGTGACTTCCAATGGGAGAGACTTTGCAGTCTCTGACTTCCAATTTTTTTTAACTTAATTGAAGTCCTGAATTACAAGTCGTGTAATGGTTTGTTTTCTATTAAAGACCAATTCCATGGCCATTGTTTAATTATATATCCAAAATGACCTTTTAGTAACTTTGTATGAATATCATAGGTAAAAACCAAAGTGAAGTTATTTACCTTCTGGCTCAATTTATATTAAAGTAATGGTACATGATATTATATGACTAGACTTTCTTTGAGGCCGTTCACAATTATTATTTCATGAAGGAGACTAAAGGGGCTTTCCACCTCCACTCCCCTTGAATTGTGAAAATTGTTAAGTCTATTTTATTTGTGAAATGCAAGAGCAATTGCTCTTGAAATACTGAAGTTTTTTTCCTCTTGTGAAGGGAGAAGCGCAGGATATGCAAATTGGGGAAAAACATTGTGGGAAAAAAAGGTTTCTCTCTGTTTGATCCGGACAAAAACAAAACATTCAAATAACTCTGATTGTAAATAAGTAATAAATATTTTAGGGTAAGAGGTGATCAGAAGCAACTAATTATACAGTAAAATTTAGTTGAAAATATATGTTATACTGTTTTTATGGCAGTAATCAAGCAAATATTGGATTGCGGCAGTGGCATTTTTGTCAAGTGTGAAACTTGCATTTTTGAATTGTGAAGGGGCTTTAATAAGGCCCTTGACAATATAGTGAACAAAAAAACCAGCCCTGAAAAAATGTAACTGACAACAACAACAACAGTAGCTGCGGCATCAATTTAAGGTTGACAAAAGGTCTTAGATAATGTAGTTTTAGAGGAGATTTTGAGTTCTTAACATCTTATGGCATTTATGCTGAACGTGCAGTTTTCCATTTTCCACTGGACATCTGTTCACGTAAAGTAATATATTACACTGTATATATATGTTTTCTATATATGGGAAAAAAATTAATGTCTTTATTGATCAATGGCAAAATAGTCGTTAATTGTTCATGGAAAGGTAAATGACATATGTACCTTTAAGAATTAAGGTCATGTTAGTGCAGTATAACCTACTTTCTAGGAAGTCAATGGCACCTGGCACGTGGTTAGTTCATGAAAGGGGAAGATGGATTGTTTCTAACAGGCACAAAGTTACAAACCCTAAACTCAAAATCCTTGATGAAACTGTATGAACAAAAGATTTTTCTATCTCCCTAAATATTTTTTGTAAGGGTATGAAGTCCTGAATTTATCCATCTGTCATTGTTCTTTTTCCATATAACCATTTTTGTTTATAGACAAAAATTCATAGATATAACCACTATCAAAGGGTGAAGTTTCGGGTTGATTGAGGTCAAGGTCAAAGTCATTTCTGTTAAAAATAGATTTTTGGTCTTTACACGTTTCTTTTACAAATATTTTAGATATTTGATAATTAAACAATTACCATTGCCTAGGCAAATATTTATTGTTCTGAGGTAATACTTGTCCATTGTAGGCATTAGTGCTATATACTTTTTTGCAATTCTTGCAGCACTTTATTATGAGGGAATATTTTTTAATGCACAAAGTTGACATATCCATAAACCAACTTTGATGCAATGTATCAGAAAAGTTTCATCCTAATATTTGTAGGGAAACTATATACCATTGTAAATTGCTATATTTCCTGGTAACATATTTTATTATTCAAAGAATCATGCATCAAACATTATCAAATGACTTTTCAGTCATTGAGGTAGGCCATTAATAAGCCCTTTCTTTTACAAAATTAGAGAATGAAATTACCAGTTTGTCGCCCATTGTATGGCACCATGGTCAGTCTGCATATCTTTGCAGTTTGACAACTGGCTCTATGATTGTTGGACGACTTCAAAACGTAAATTTTCATCCTGACATCCCCAAAATGGATGATGAAAAGTTCCAAAAATGGAAACTTAATAACAAGTGCATTATTGAAATTGAGAAGGTTTAACATATAAAATGTTAGTGTTTTGTGGAAAGTGTAAAAAGAACAGAAAAAAGTCGTTTGTAAGGTAATTATTCATATATTGGCTTCAGGTTATCTTGTTATTCAATAGTTGGTTAAACATGTGTCAAGGTTGGTGGTCTAAAAATAGAGCAATTCTTAAAAAATTGTAACTTTTCAGGGAAGTGTTTTTTTTTATTAGAATGCAAGTATTTCCTAAAACTAAGATTTAAAATTGTTTTCTGTTACTTTACAATTACAATCAAGTTTGAACTGGTTATTTACAGCATTGTTTACAAGTTTTTTTTATAGTTGATGAATTACGAGTGTACAAATATTTAAAACCATTTGTTTGTATTGAAACAATACTTGAATTCATGAAGTATCAATCCATAATTATTTAGGCTAGTAAATAAAAAAGTATAAGCGCTGAGTGTACAGATATAGAAAATGTCACATATGCCAGTCTGAACTACTGTGCAGTCTGACACCCGACTAATGTTGCTACTAAATTTCTTTATTTCTACATTGAAATCCTGTCAGCTTTTAATGAACTGTTCTTAATGTCAATGCAGGAAAAATCCATTCTCAATTTTAAGGGTTAAGAATTAAAAATGTTTATTTATGGAAAAAAACAAACCAAAAAAACCCACCAAAATAATTGGACAAGTCTTTCATTTGAAGCCCTGGGCAGAAGCCAAAAAGTATTTGTATATGTTGCTACTGAAAAATCATGGTAAAAACAATAATGTTTTTTTTAACCGACATAGTGAAAATTAAGTTATCGTTGTTGAACATCTGTTTATCTTAATGTCCGTCTTATTGTTTATATTTTGTTCGAAGGTTATACAGTATAATAAAAACACTTCCTTATGAAAAAGTGGTTTAGATTTATTACACAATTTTATGATGCTGTTTTGTTCTACATTTTATTGATGACATTAAGTAAAATATATTAATTTTTTGCTTGACTGTTTGAAGAAAGGGAGAGCTTTTGTTCTCGCCCAGGCCTTGGTGTCAGGCTTTTGTTAATATTTTTCATGCAAGTTGGGTTCAAAACTACTGAATGGGTTAAAACTTCATACACTTTGATTAGAACAAAATAGAAAGTCACTGTCCAAGGCCTGTTACTCTAACATGGATTTTGACGGAATTATAGCCCTTTTTGAACTCTGAAAATTCTATCATTATGTTATCCAGGCTCTTGTTTTACTATCAGGCACTGAGAATTGATGAGCGTGCTGTCCTACCTAAAGCTCTTGTTTAATTTAAAACTCATATAGCTTGCATTTCATTTATAATGCAAAACTTTGCAAACTGTCACCTGTATATGTGAAAGATAATTTATTGAGACGTTTAAATCATATACTTGAGATTTAATAATAAAATTGGAAGTTAAGTTGGCAGAGCAGTCTGGTTAATATATAAATCTTTTTTTTTAACTGCCATTGCTTAGGAACAATTAAGGACTTACTACGAAACAGTGATATATGTATATTTCCCATTAAGTACAACTTAAATTATATACCAACATCTTGAAATGAAAAGTAGTTTTGATGGCCAATTTGTCGGCAAATGTGGAACATGTATGTTGATTATTTGTCAGAAGTCAATTTGTCACCAATTTGTCAAGATGCTAATAAATTCATGCACTGCTTGTAAATTCTGTTAAGTATGATCAATTGAATGTTAATTGTAGAAACACACTTTAACACAGTATTTTAAGCTGTTCTTTGAAGACTGGCGCAGGGATTGATGGATGATATGAAGGTTAAGTTTTATGTAACAGTTATGTTTGTTTCTGTCATCGTTAATTGTCAATTATAGTAAACCTGTAGAATTATTCTTGCTGTAATTTGTTCTATAGAAAAAGTTAAAAATGATCTCAACGGCCAATGTCTGGTGTTCTTATTTTTGCAATTAGTTGTTCTCAATAGCCCTGGTAAAGTCAGTCATTTTCGGAGATAGTTGTTCTATCAGTGTAGTAGAAAATGATCTCAACAGCCCTTGTAAGGTGTTATAATTCTTAGAGATAGTTGTCTATCAATGTAGTAGAAAATGATCTCAACAGCCCTTGTAAGGTGTTATAATTCTTAGAGATAGTTGTTCTATCAATGTAGTAGAAAATGATCTCAACAGCCCTTGTAAGGTGTTATAATTCTTAGAGATAGTTGTTCTATCAATGTAGTAGAAAATGATCTCAACAGCCCTTGTAAGGTGTTATAATTCTTAGAGATAGTTGTTCTATCAATGTAGTAGAAAATGATCTCAACAGCCCTTGAAAGGTGTTATAATTCTCAGAGATAGTTGTCTATCAATGTAGTAGGAAATGATCTCAACAGCTCTTGTAAGGTGATATAATTCTTAGAGATAGTTGATCTATCAATGTAGTAGAAAATGATCTCAACAGCCCTTGTAAGACATTTTTTCTTGCAATATTGCACAAATAAAAATTTCGTTAGTCTTGCAAGCAAAGAAAATCAGTTTCAATACAAGCTTTCTTAAACAAAGAAACTGGTCAAAAGCTAACAAACTAACTAACAAACTAACTAACAAACAGTTGGGTTCAACACACACTGCTCTCTATATATTTTAAAGTAGCTAGAGAAATTTTGAGAGTAGCCAAAACTGATGAAATGCTAAGTTTTTGACACTGTTTTGTTCTTGATTCAAGGAAGTACATTTTGAATGCCATTTTCTTTGGTATAATTTATTCAAGAATTGTTGCTGTTGTCTGATGGCATTTGGATCGGCATTTGTAAATGCATATATGAGCCGCGTCATGACAAAACCAACATATGGGTTTGCGACCAGCATGGATCCAGACCAGCCTGCGCATCCGCGCAGTCTGATCAGGATCCATGCTGTTCGCTTACCAACTCTATT